GCCAAATCCGCCCTCATCATTTGCCCCCCACTCCCAAGCTGAAAGTAACTCGGCGAAGGGAGTAGATTTCTCCTTTTGGCCCATAATTCGACGAGCTCGTAAGCACTATTTCAGTTTCTTAGGCTCTGGGAGCTGCTTGGAAGCGAGCTGCTCGTAAGATGTAGAGGTCTCTGTCAGTCTAGTACTGTAGCCTTTAGGCTCTAAGAGCAACTTGTAGTTCACTCCTGGACTTTGCCCATGCCGAAGAGGCGACTGGGTCTTGAGCAGTATTGTAGCATTTAGGCTTTGGGAGCGACTCGTAGTCCACTCCTAGATTCTGCCCATGCCGAAGAGGCGACTGGGTCTTAAGCAGTATTGTGGCCCTTAGGCTTTGGGAGCGACTCGTAGTCCACTCTTGAACTTTGCCCATGCCGAAGAGAGACTGGGATTTATGAAGTGTTGAGCTTCCTGTGAGGTGCTGGACTGGCCAGGTGCCGAGCTGTCCGTGAGGTGCTGGGTTGACCAGGTGCCGAGCCACCTGTGAGGTGCCAGGCTGACCAGGTGTCGAGCTGCCTGTGAGGTGCTGGGCTGACTAGGTGTCGAACTGCCTATGAGGTGCCGGGCTAACCAGGTGTCGAGCCACCTGTGAGGTGCCGGGTTGACCAGGTGCCGAGCTGCCTGTGATGTGCTGGGCTGACCAGGTGCCGAGCTGCCTGTGAGGTGCCGGGCTGACCAGGTGCCGAGTTGTCTGTTAGGTGCTGGGCTGATCAGGTGTCAAGCTGCCTATGAGGTGTTGGGTTGATCAGGTGCCGAGCCGCCTGTGAGGTACCGAGCTACCCAGGAGGTGTCGGGCTGACTAGGTGCCGAGCCACCTCTAAGGTGCCGGGCTGACTAGGTGTCGAGCTGCTTGTGAGGTGCTGGGCTGACCAGGTGCCGAGCTGCCTGTGAGGTGTTGGGCTGACCAGGTGCTGAGCTGCCTGTGAGGTGCTGGGCTGACCAAGTGCCGAGCTGCCTGTGAGGTGTTGGGCTGACCAGGTGTCGAGCTGCCTATGAGGTGCCAGGCTGACTAGGTGCCGAGCCGCCTGTGAGGTGCTGGGCTGACCAGGTGCTGAGCTGCCTGTGAGGTGTTGGGCTGACCAGGTGCCGAGCTGCCTGTGAGGTGTTGGGCTGGCCAGGTGCCGAGCTGCCTGTGAGGTGCCGGGCTGACCAGGTGCCGAGCTACCTGGTGGCGAGCTAAATTGATGAGCTTCATTGCTCTTTAGAGACCTGCAAGGAATCAAATGTCAGAGGACCCGGGGTGGTTAACCCAGTGAGGTCGCTCTGGTGCTTAAGTAAGTACTCTCATAGTAGACTGCGAGCTAAAAATCACAAAGTCTGAGAGCTAGAACTTGCTTACTTGTTTCTGGCTAAAAATCACTCGCCAGGTCGGCGCATGTGCCAGGTCGCACCTCTGCCAGGCCGCGCCAGGTCGCGCTTGGGCCAGGTTGCCAGGTCGGTGCCTGTGCCAGGCCGCGCGTAGGTCGCTAGGTGGGCGCATTGGTGCTATGATTGCACTGCATCAGGTTCGTGGTGCCGGTCACCCACTCCTACAAGAAGCTACTAGGAGCTCGACAAACGGGGGCAGCACTATTGACTTTAGGTCGCCAGCTCGCACGGGAGCCTTGGAAGACTCGACCAGCAAGGGCGCCCATGTATTCTGTTGGTCGCCAATTTCCACGGAAGCCATGAAGAGCTCATCTTTGTAGAGGGGACCTCGCGAAGAGGACTGATGAGGTTTTATTTTTTGGGAGAAGAGGACTTAGCTTTTTGTAGGATGAGAACTTAGCTTTTGTAGAATGAGAACTTAGCTTTTGTAGAATGAGAACTTAGCTTTTTGTAGCGATTCTCACAGACGGCGCCAATTGATTTAACGGTTTCTGGTCACGTATCATTTTTCTTGGCTAAGTACCTCGTCATCTCGTCTGCTCCCAGGTGGCCGATGACTCAGGGGCTGAAATGGATCTCCCTAGTGTAGCGCAACCCGGCTACTCCCTGCAAGAGATGATCTGCTCATCTTTGTAGATGGCGGGAACTGAGGAACCTGCAATAACTGGATCAAAGAACCCGGAGTGGCTTACTCGGAAGGGACACTCCGATGGCTAAGTCAACACTTAATAGTGAGCTGAAAATGATATTAGAGAATGAGAGAGCTAGAGAGCAGGGATCACCCTTCATTTTTTCTCCCATTTCTTCTTCGTTTTCCTCTCCCATTTTTCTTCTTTTTCCTCCCCCCTTCTCCTCTAGGGGGTGAGGTCTTTATATACTGGAGTCCTCGTGGGTTTGGTGGAGCAGTTCCTGGATTCCCACTGTGATGGGACCTATTTTTGTGTTAGGTGGGGACAATGCCACCAACTGGTGAGGTTGCCAATTTCCGCCTAAATTGGGGAGTGGGTGAGCTAATACAGCCGTTACAAGTCACAATCCCGTAAAATGCGGGGTACGGTGGTGAGCTCCTCAGGATTGTCATGCGGTGGTCGGTCTGAGTAAAAGGCGAGCTGCCCATAAGTGGCAAGTTGCCTGGTGGCGAGCTTCCTAGTGGCGAACTGCCTGTGTAGTGCCGAGTTGTCTAAGTTGCCAGGTTACATGATGGTGAGCTTCCTATGGTGAGCTACCTATTTGTCAGGAAGCTGCACCTAGTTGTCATGATGTGACAGGTGTCATAATGTCATTGAAGGGACAAATCCGTCCTCATCAGAAAACAACCTCCATCGGTTGCTAGCAGTGGTCTCTGGTGGTCGATAGCAAGGGCGGAATTAGAGGTGACCGGAGAAAGAAAGAAGAGAGAGAGAGAGTTTTGAGATGAAATGAATATGGGCGGGGAAGGCAAGATATTAGAAGTTTTGAACAACAAACGAGATTTATTTATTTTTTTACGTTAAAACCTGGGCTCCGTTAACTCTTTGACTTCCAGCCAACGAGGGACGTGCTCAAATTCTATTGGGTGGGACAAAAAATTTTCTATACCCTGGGGACCGACGATCCGGCCTCCGCTCCTGCATTGTTGATTTGCGTAGAATTAGAAAATGCAATTCCACTGTACAGTCCCTCTGTCGCTGAAAAAGAGAAGAGAAAAAGACAAAGATGGGTTTGAGCTTTGAAGTGAAGTTTGTGGAGTTCGAAGCCATTATGGCGACGGTGGAGAGTGCGAGAATGGAGCAGAGCACACTGAGCAAAGCAGCAGGGATGAGCACTTTCATCTAATCATCTTATATTGTCGCTCCTCTTCTCCAACGAGTTCGACTTCTGTCAGGATAAGTTTGAACAGCCCTTTGCAACCTTGGATTGGGAATATTTTAATTTTCCATGAAATATAAATCAAATAAGTAGGGAGAGATCGTAAAGGCTGTTGGAATGGGCTTTGCCCTGACCGAAGCCGGATTTTTCTCCTACTGCTTTTTTTCTTGAGGTCCATTTTCTCAATTGAAATACTACTCTTACACGACGCTTCTGGTTCAAATGTAGGGTTTCTTGAGGTCACCAACAATCACAAACTTAATAATCTTGCACAGCGACACACGCCCCATTCACCTTCTCCATCTAGACTTTTCCTCGTTGCCGTTCTAGTTACAGAAAAAAGTAAACTAAACATAGATAGGTTTCTTGTAGTTGCATAGCAGTTCTCCAACTCTTAACTCAGCAATTGACAACATTCTACCAACGCCTCAATAGAAAATTTGAATTTTTAAGTCATTGTATGCTCAATGGTCCCAATACAATAAATTTCTAAAAATAACAATACGTTGAATGGGATCATGTCAATCGTTCATTAATGGATCTTTAATCAATTCAACAGTTTTTGTAATATAATAAATGTAAGGTGATTCATACTAAGGCCATATTCGCTTTTTGGTAAATTACTTACCTGGGTAAATGCAGTTATGGTTTTTTTTTTTTTTGGGGAAACACTTATGCAGGTAAGTACATTTCATGTTTCTTTTATTTCTCATTTAATAAGACAATGACCATTTTAGTCATAAAAATCCATTATTAAAAAATATATTTTTATTCCATTCAAGTGTTAATAAAGGAGAAAGTTATTTATCCATATAGGAGATGAGCCAGGTAAGTGATACACAAGAAAATAAACTTTCCCTTTTACACATATATCTGAAAAAAGAATATAAGATTCTTAATCAATAAAAACCAAAATCCCATTAACTAACTTTTTCCTCTCTCAAAATCCAAAAAAATAAAAACACCCCCTAAAATTAGGACTCATTGGGGAACCAATGACAGATTGGTAATAACAATATACAATAGGGCATGGACGAAACCCTAACACGGATCATATATGTAATTAAGTGTCCCATACAAGGTACAAGATAGATATAGAGCAGGACTTTGATAATAAAACCATTATCTTGGATATTTTTGTAATTATATAATTTACATTTAAAATGGGATTCAGGTGTCAAAACAGAGCAGGCCCAGTAGGCTGAATGTAAAGTCCACTGACCTAAACAGAGACTTCAATAATGCAGGATACCGAATCACCATCTATTTGCTTCATGGGGCTACAGTACTGGCCTACACAACTCGGGGAATCCCTTCTCTATAACCCATGACCCCCGAACCTGGTGGCAATGGGATTTGATTTATAATCGGTAAAATAACTTACTAAGCCACCATATCTAGGAGTGTTCATTATACGGTTCAAACTGTAAAACCGAATGGAATCAAATCAAATTTGTGATTTGGTTTAAGTCTAAATTTATAACAATTTGGTTCAGTTTCATGAATTTAGAAAATACGGTTTATGGTTTGGTTTATTAAATTTTATGAACCAAATTAAACCGTAAACCATAAATCATAAACCATATTAATATAAATATGTAATATAATATATATTGAATAATATAATTTAATATATTAATATTAAATATTAAGTATTAAATTTTAATTTGTAATTATAACTTTCTCTCTCCTCTTGTTGATACCTACCCAGCTAACCTTTTGTTTCCCTTTTGGTTTTGTTCTTAAAGAAAGAGAACACCAAACGCCTAATGGAGGAAGTGAAGTTTTCTTCTCAAACAACACCGAGCCATCAACGATTTAATGTTGCCGGCTTGCCGCTGTTGCTGGTTAGTATCGCCAGTCATACCTTCGCCGTCAGGTAAATGCTCTCTCTCTCTCATTACCTGATACAATGAAGCCATAACCATTCTTGCCGACCCACCATTTTCACCGACTCATCGCTGGCTACTCCACCACTGTCGCTGCTCTTGTCTCCCTCTCTTGATGTCATCTCTCTTCCAACCCTAACAAAACGCCCTAACCAAGGAGGCTAGGAAACCCTCTTCCTCTGTTCAACCGAACTTTATCCGCCCTAGTTTGGCGACTCTGGCTGGCTATGCAATCTCTGTCATCTTTTCATCTCCTCTTTAGTCTATTCTATTATTTGAAAAAGAAAAACCCTAATGGCCTACCCCCTTTATTTCTTCTCTGATGCAGTGACATATGTTCAACTTTGAACAGCCAGGAGAATAACTAGAATTGAAACTCTAGAAATACAAGAACAAAATTCGAATTTGGGCTAGGGAGAAAAAATATCAAATAATTTTAGAGTTTTGGACAAAAAATAGGATCTATTTAATTTTTAATTATATATTTATCAATATATGCATGTTTTTAGCATTAGAATGTAGATGTTTTATATTAATGTTCAGATTTATTATCAATTTTACATTGTTCTTAAGTTTTTTGGTTTTGTTATGCATTGTATATATTTAAATTTTCAACAATAAACTGATTTAATTTTATTAACAGATTTGTATATAAAATATATTCTATTGTTCTTTGTTCAAATGTTCCTATTTTCAAAATTGTTTAGATCATAATTGTTAATATACTTTATTGTCCAAAAATCGTATTAAAAACCACACCAAACCATAATAAAACGGTTTGATTTCTATACCAAAACAATTTGGTTTAATCTAAAAATTTCCTAAACTAACTTGATTTTAAATTCTTCACAGGCATCCCATATTTGTTTTTTTTATGATTCATTTGTGTGTGATAAGCCCACTTTGTTTTTTTTGGGGGGCATAGTTTGTGAAATTTAAACAGTTATTGAATTTCGTAAAAGGCCTCAAGAAATTTTATTTAGCCTTTCCAATTTCAGTGGTTTTCTAAAAACCGAACACAGCCTAAAGTAATTTTTAATCCATATTAGTCACATCATCTAAAAAATGAACACAACCACTTTTTGGTTGGCCATCAGTGTTAAATGTAGACACATTACCTACTTAGCTCCTTGCTTGGTTTTTTTCTTTTTTTTTTTTTTAATTTAAAAGAACATTGGTTGCAAAAAAGGTTCAAAATATCGGTCGATATGTATTGTTCCAGGGCCTTTCCGATACGTCCCTACAGTGGGTGTATCGGAGTTCTGACCGGTTCAGGGGGTGGAAGAGCCTTAAACCGACCCCCTGAATAGGTTTTAAAAAATAGAAAAAAAGTAAAAAAAAAAACAGTCTCGATATCACCCGATATGCCCCTACCGACCTATCGAGCGTATTGATATTTTGAACATTGGTTGCAAATACTCTAGTTTTTATCCTTCACCAATAATAACACAAGAGGCTCCTACACAATCCAAAAACAGCCAAGCTTTACCCTTGTAAAGCAATAGCTTCTTTGATTGATAGAACCACTCTCTATCACTCGTAAATAAACAAAGAAATATCTAAAGAACTATCAAATTATGTTTAGGTAATTGAGCTTGTCATGTTACACCTGCACCCACTTTTTCGTATAATATCATAATCCTGTTTATTTTAATTTCCTTACTAGTGGGCCTCTTATAGTTTCATGGATTTACTAAAAATCTACCCTATAGTTAAAATTTTACTAAAACACCACTTATAATTTGCAATGGGTTTAATCAATCTTCTATTAAATGACAGTGGAAAATGATACTGTTGACCTTAATGTTCATTTAAATAAATTCAATCAAAAGAAAATAAAAATAAAAATACCATTTTTACCCTTTGTAAGACATGGGCAACCACTCTATTGGCTATATTTGGTTAATTTTGTTTTCTATACAAAAAAAGTGTTAAGGGTATTTTTGGAATAAAAAATCATAGGCTTAATGGCAAAACAAACACCCCTTAATGAAAGATTGATTAAGTAAATAAGTTGTAAAATATATGGGATGTTTTCATAAAATGAAAACTATAAGGTAGGTTTAAGTAAATATGTAAAATTAAAAGATGTGTTCTAGTAAATGACCCTAATAGAATCACACGAGAGCAGGGGTGGATTCGAGCCAAGCCGAACCGAATAGTACGAGGCTCGAGCTCGGTTCGAGTTAGAACATTGAGCTCGAGTTCGGCTTGAGTCTCAATTTCAGAAAGAAATGTTTTATAAAAATAAAAAATTATATATGAAAATATTTTTATTTGATATTTAAAAAATTAAGAATTATAATAATTAAAAATTATAATATTTTTATTATATATTGTTTTCTACAATTTTATTTGATATATATATTCAAGCTCGGCTCACGAGCCTTATGAGCTGAGCTCTATTAGGCTTGAGCTCAGCTCGTTTATTAATCAAGCTTGAAAATTGGGCTTGAGCAAGAGCAGCTTGTGAAAAGCTCGGCTCGTGGCCACCCTACATGAGAGTATACAATTGTTTTATATTTTCAACTTTTTAAATAATTAATAATTATTCATATTTTGTATACTACTTTTAATAATTTTTTATAATACAAAAAGTAACAATAATTAGTTTTAGTTAGGTTTATTCATCAAATTGATGAAACCGATCAACCCGGTCAACTCGACCCAAGTTGGTTGGTTTTCTAGTATTTTAGGTTGGCTTTGGTTAAAAATTTTTCCAATTCAACCAAGTTGGATCAATTTCACTTTGGCCATTTGTAAACCAACCAAAATCGAACGACCTAACCATGAGTATATATTAATATTTTATATTTTAAATATAATTTTTAAGGTGGAAAAGTGGAAAATTTTCCATATATTTTAGTAAAAAATGTTTTATATCATAAATCTAATTTTTAAATATATTTTTTAATAATTGCACTATTATTTTAAAAATTAAATTAAAATTTTAAATTTAAATCATTTGAACCAACTGACTAAACAAAAAAATTGACCCAAACCAATACAACTTGAGTGGGTCTATTTTCACAAAAGGTCAGTCGGTTTCATATGACCAACTCTCCAAACTGACCAAATCAATTTGGTTGGCCAAATAGCCTACAACCGAACTGAACCAACTCATGAACACTCGTAATTTCAGCTAAATTAATAGTCTCATCTTTGATAAATAACAATAGTTTAATATCCAATAATTATTGAAAATTTATAGCAAAAATACACAACTATTGATAAACAAAAAATTCAATAATTACAAAAATATAGTAAGTACTAAAAATATATTAACTTAGTCAATAAATAGTATACTCTCAACTAATAGTTTAATATCTAATAAACATTATTCAGTAAGTTATAACAAAAATACAATAAGTACAATAAATTAAATCTAAAATTTTCACTAATAGTAGTTTAATCTCCGATAATTATTGAAAGTTTTTTATTAAATAACAAAACAAAATAAATTTATACATAATCATTGAAAATACATTTATCACAAAAGCAATAAATAATCACTGAAATATAATAAATATTAATTTTAGTATATATAATTATATAATAAATATAGATTAAGAGTTTAAAATTATTATTAATAAATATTATTTTTTTGAAAGTTATTTTCTCAAATTTTTACTTGATATAAGTAAAATTAGTTATTTACAATATTATGTAAAAATATTAAATTATTATTAATTTCAATATTGTGTTATAATTATTTTTCTACTTTTCAGATTTTTTTTTTTAAATTTGTTACATAATTTGATTATTTTAACTATTGAAAATCTAGTTATGTTAAATATTCAGTTGTTTAAAATACCAAGTTATTTAAATACTTAAATAATATGTAAAATATTAGTTATTTAAGGAATTTAATTATCTGTAAAATCATAATTTATACTATTATTACATAATTTCATTATTAATTTTGTAATATATTATATTATTATTAATTTCAATATTATGTTATAATTGTTTTTCTGCTTTACATAATTTTGTTATTTTAACTATTTATAATCTAGTTATGATAAATATCTAGTTATTTAAATATTTAAAAAATCTATAAAATATTTAAATTTTTTTCTTATTTGAATTTTATTTATTTAAATCTATTTCAAACATTTAAATCGATGATCTGGAAAAAAATAATTTAAATTATTTGTACATAATTTTGTGATATATTTTGTAAAAATATAAGATTATTTATTAGATAATTTCGTTATTTTAACTATTTAAAATATAGTTATGATAAATATTTAGTTATTTAAATATTTAAATAATCTATAAAATATTTAACTTTTTGTAATTTGAATTTTATTTATTTTAAACTATTACATTTTATTAAATATTTGAAAAGCATTTAAATTGATAGTATGGAAAAATATGATTTAAATTGTTAGTACATAATAATTTAAATATTTGGATTAAATTTTTTAATCTAAACTTTCTTTAGATAGATATAGATAAAAAGTAGGGGAGAGGATAAATAGGAATTAGAGATAATTTAGGAGAGAAACTCTCTACTAAATTAGAGATAATTGTGGAGATAAATAGGAATTAGAGATAATTTAGAAGATAAATAGGAATTAGAGATAACTCTGGGTAAGTGAGGGAGATAGTTTAGGATAAATTTTTGGAGAAGAGATTATTTAGGTTATTGGGAAAGTGCATCTCATTGGTTGTTTCAAAAATAAACAAAAAATTCAAAAAAAGGAGAAAATTTCTTGACCGCTTTTGTTTTATATATATATAGATTTTTTCATGAAACTATAACTGTTTGTTTGCAATAGTATGAGAATCATCACACCAATTTTATTGTCTTGATGGATGGTTTCTCGCAATGAATGGTGAAGGCATGGTTTTCAAAATCAGACCGGACCGGACGGTTGGACTAGAAAAACTGAGAACCGGTTAGGTGACCATTTCTATTTTTCCCCAAAATTGGATTTTTGCCAGAAACCGTTGATTTTGGTCCACAAACCGCTGACCTATGTGGTTAACCATTCAAACGGTTTTGACTATTTTTTATTTTTCTTTAATTTTTTTGTCAGAACGGGCCAATTGTTCGATTCGAATGGTCGGACTATTCAACCCAGGAACCGGGCCCCTGATTGGTTCGTTCTTCGGGTCGGTTTTAAAAACCTTGGGTGAAGGTTGTGTTGTGCATGTTTGGCAAGTAATGGAATGTAAAGATGGTGAAAATGATGGTGTGTGTGTGTCTAGCAATGGATGGTTTTTCCACTAAGTGCTTGTTGAATATTGATCCAGGAATTGATCGTTCAAAAACTTCTTCAGTCATTCAAAGGAACAAGCTTGAACGAGATAAACAGGGAGAACCCTAATTTTTCCAAAGTTTTTGTTTCATCAAAAAATATTTGAAGGATAGTTATGGCATTTTTAAAGTTTTAAGCACTGTTTTCAAAATTGGATCAGACCGGACGATTGGATCGGAAAAACCGGGAACCGATCACTTGACCGGTTCTGTTTTCCTCGAAAACCGCTTTTCCTCCAAAACTGTTGATTTTGGTCAACAAACCGCTGAACCGACCAATTAATTATTCGAACAGTCAGACTGTTCGAACCGGTAATCGGACCCCTGATCGATTTGGTCATTTTAAAAACCATAACATGTGTTATATTTAAAAGTAAGTTCACTCTTGGCTTCTTAATGAAGTTTAGGTACTAAAGTGATACTAGAATTTATTATTTTCAAAGTTAATTTCACTCTTGTCTCCTTGATGAATTTGCTATTTGGTTGGCTGATTTTCTATTCTTTCCTTTTGAAAATAAGAAAATGAGACAAGAGTAGAATTACTATCTTGCCCCCACTTCTCTCCACTTAAAATTCACTCATGGGGCTGTAATACCAAATAATTGCGGAATCAGAGACATTTATTTTAATGGTGTATTTTGGAGGATTAGAGGGTGGACAAGCGTGTAAATCATTTGGGGCAATGTGATGTGATGTGATATGGCAAGTAGCATATTCCACTTTAATATCTTTAACTTTTAAAAGTGTAAAGTTAGTTATTTGTTAAAAATGATAAAATTATCTTTCAAAAGAAGACAAAATTAATTGTCTTATACTTTAAGATTGAACTGGTTGAGGTGTTTGAGATTCTAGGCTAATGAAATACATTCTTGTCTATCATATTTCATTATTGTCTTCTACTTTTAAATCTGAAATACATTCTTGTCTAACTATTTTACTTGTTTTCAGTTATTATTTCTTTCTATCATATTTTATGTTTTTTCTCTCTTTCTTTGAAGATAACCAGTTTGATTTTAAGGTAGAAGAGAATGAAGTGTCTTTTTTAAAAAGGTAGTTTTGACATTTTCAATAGATAATTGATGGTAGATTTACAAAGCCAACTTGATACTTTTTTAAAGTTTAATTGCTACAATGATAGATTTGAAAGTTGGGATACTAACTTAAGACTACTACCTCCAAAGTTTATGGAATTTTCCCTGATTTTTGTAGAAGGCCAATTACTCACTACCGTGATTAGAACACTCTGGATCTGAGTTGATGTAGGAGACCCACGTGTTTGAAACGAAATTTCCCATTCAAAACCACTGTTGCCTTACGATTTGATCCAGACACACCGACAGTGGTTGGGTCATCTTTACGAGATTTGGTAGAGGAACCCTCCACCAGTGTCGATAGAAATGCGATTCCAGTGTGCAATAAAGTGATAATTGATAAACAAACAGGAACACTTGCTCCTATTTGTGTATGTATGCGAGAGAGGAGAGAAAGGCGGAGATGGGGCTGAAATCAAGTTTATGGAGTGCGATGCCGTTTGCGGCAATGGTGACGGTGGAGTGTGCGATGATAGGGCTGAGCACACTGAGCAAAGCGGCCATGAGAAGAGGGATGAGTAATTTTGTCTTCATCTTGTATTCCTATATTCTCGCCACTCTCCTCCTGCTGCTGCCTTCTGTCTTCGTCATCTGCCGCCACAGGTCCATTTTTTCTCCATTAAAGCCTTCATCCTACTGCTCTTAGCTTGCATGCTCGTTGAGGCTACACAACAAACACAAACTTTATAGAATCTCGTTTTGCAGAGCGACGCACGCCGCGCCACTCACTTTCTCCATCCTCTGTAAAATTTTCCTCTTGGGGCTAGCGGGGTATGGTTTCGTATTCTTGATTACCGTACTGATGTACCTCGTTTTAACATTTCACTTTACAGCTTTTTCTTCTTCATCTTCTTTTACCAAACTTCAAGTAGATGAAGTTAATTAATGAAACTAGTAACAAGGATAGATCCGATCTTTTTCCTGTTTCTATTATTTTAAATATAGATAGATGGCATGTGTTCCTTGCAGTTGCACTGCACAGATACTTCAATTCGAAGGTATTCGAAGCAGCTCTCCCACTCTTAGCTCAGCAGTAGACAACACTCTTCCAGCTTTTGTCTTCATCCTTGCTTTAATCTTCAGGTCAGGTTCCGCCTTTTGTTCTCTCTCTCTATTCGTTGGATGTGATTAACTTCAAATGTTCTTATTCTACAAAAAAAACTTTAAATGCTCATTAAATTTTTCAACAATTATAGAGTTAGAATTTATTAATTTGTCAATTGGACATATTTTTTATTATGTTTTAATTTAAACCAATTTATTGCAAAAAAAAAAGATTTGGGGATGTTTGGAATCATGGCCGTTTTTCAGAAAAACGGTGCCACGTCGGATCCACATAGGCGTTTCAACAAACATCCATGTATCTCATTGTTTGGTTCAGCCGATTATTAAAAAATCGGACATGTCTCGAAAATTGGGACCCCACCGATGCATGAAATGCCAATTGAAAAATGATAGTGCTTACCTATCAGCACATATATGAAAAATGGATATGGACGTTTTTTCTTAAAAATCGGTCACAAAACGCGCCCACGCTTCCAAACACCATGTTGGTCAAGAACCAAATGTGTTCTTACCGGTAGAACCACTAACCTATTTAACTAGGAAAATGGGTTATGGTTAATACATTAATTTGTTTTTTTTTGTATTTTAGCTATTTCTATTTTTACAAACAATAATTCTCATTTTCAAATATATTTTTGTTTAATATGAAGAACACTATTTTCAAAATCGGACCGGACAGTCGGACTGGAAAAACCAGGAACCGGTCACCTGACCGGTTCCGTTTTCCTCCAAAACCGCTTTTTCCCCCAAAACCGTTGATTTTGGTCAGCAAACCACTGAACCAGCCGGTTAACCATTTGAACTGTTCGAACGGTTTTGACCGTTTTTTAAAATTTTAATTATTTTTATTTTTTTTGTCAGAACGGTCGAACCATTCGAACCGATAACCGGACCCCTGACCGGTTCAATCACCGCTTCGTTTTTAAAAACCATGATGAAGAATATATAATATTAATACATGTTCAATTTTTTTCCATAAAATTTATAAAAAAAATTATATTTATATTTTTTATTATTTAATTTATGACATAATAAAAATTACTTATTTAACAAGAGGAAATGCAATTCCAATATCTTGTTTGATATTGGTTTTTAATATTGGGGTCAAATTAATTTATTAGATTGATTAGCCCGCCACCCAATTCAAGATTGTAGGTTCATTTACCACCAAACCACTTGCCTACGGTGGCCTAGCTAACTAAATCATGGAACCATTTGACATAGTTAGTGGAGTCATGTGTTAGACATTAATGCTTTTTTTTCCTAATTTTTATCCCATTTCTATCATTAATGAAAATAATTCTCATTTATCACTTTTTTTATATGATGAATATATAATAACATAGAATGTACCTAAATAAATTTATCTACATTTTTCTATAATTTTGTGTATTTTATTATTTAATTATAACATCATTTGTTGATCCATTTGATATGGACAGTTGAACCACTAATCCACCACTTGGATGGAAAAAACATTTTGCTTTTTTGGTTGATTTTAAATATTGTATTTCATTTTTATCATTAATAAAAGTAATTCTTATTTTCATATTTATTTTTGTTTAATATTATGCAATATATAACATTATAATTGTATCAAAATGCTTTATACAAAGCTTATATATATTTTTTTAATATTTATTTCTTAGTTATAATATTATAGATTGATCCATTTGACCTAGAAGATTAGAATGTTAACTTACCATCTAGATATGGAATTGGTTTCATTTTCAAACTGGTTTTAATTTTTGCATTTAATTTATATTACTAATAAAATAATTATTATTTATGATACTTATTTTTATTTATATGATTAATATATAATATTATAGATGTGCCCAAAATTGTTTTGTATTTTTTTTGTATTATTATTTTTTAAAAATTTTATTTTTAATTATACATCATGAGTTAACCAATTTGATCTGAAAGGTTGAACCACTAATACGCCCCCTATATAGGAAAATTGTTTCATTTCCCATTGGTTTTAAGTTCTATATTCCTTGTCCATCATTAATAAAATTATGTCTATTTAATCATATATATTTTTTAATATGACAAATATATAATAATAGAAATGTGTCCAAAATTTTCAAAATTTCATTATTTTCTATATTTTTATATTTCTATTTATTATTTATTTATGACATCATGGAATTATCCATTTGACCCAAATGGTTGAACTACTTAATCACCACCTAGATGGAAAAATATGATTTTATTTCTAGGTTTATTTTAAAAATGTAAAATTTCATTATATTCATAACTATTGTGTATTGATTTATTAGTGGAATTTAATGCTGAGAAACAAAAGTATAAATATTGGATTGAATGTGAGAGAGAGAGAGAGAATGTGATTTATTTAATGATTTAAATGTGAGACTTGATGAGAGGTAATAATTAAATACACTTGATATTATTATTTTAATTGCATTTTCTACTTAAATCTTTTATTCCATTTTCATCATTAATAAAAGTCATTCTTATTTTCATATTTAATATTATGAATATGTAACATTAGAACTGTAGCAAAATGCTTCATACAAAGCTTATATTTTTCTTTGAGTTTCTATATATTTTTTTAATATTTATTACTTAGTTATGACATCATAAATTGACCCATTTTACTTGAAAGATTAGATTGTTGACCAACCATCTAGATATGAAAATGGTTTCATTTTCAATCTGATTTTAAAATTTTCATTTAATTTATATCACTTATAAAATAATTATTATTCATTATACTTATTTTTTTGTTTATGTGATTAAGATATAATATTATAGATGTAGGGGTGAGCATTCGGTTTATTCAATTAAAAACCGATCCAAATAAATTGAAAATTTTTAAAACCAAATCGAAACCGAATAATTGAAAAACCAAAATTTTTTTATTCGACTTTTAGTTATTTTGATTAAAACCAAATTTTAATAATGTATATGCTATACTATATATATTATAACATATAATATATAATATATATTATGAAAGCAAATTTCATTATATTATATATTATATATTGCATATGATATACAAAAGTTCAGTTTATTTGGTTAAACGAATTTCTAATTCTAAAAACTGAATTAACAGAAACTCTAAAAAAAACAAACCAAAATTTTCAGTTCGGTTTTAACCGAATTATGCTCACCCCTATAATAGATGTGCCCAAAATTGTTTTGTATTTTTTGTATTATTCTATTTTAAAAATTTTATTTTTAATTATACATCATGAGTTAATCCATTTGACCTAAAAAGTTGAACCACTAACCCACCTCTAGATAGGAAAATTGTTTCATTTCCCGTCAGTTTTAAGTGGTATATTCAGTGTCAATCATTAATAAAACTATGCCTATCCTATCATACTTATTTTTTTAATGTGACAAATGTATAATAATATAATTGTGTCCAATTTTTTTCAAAATTTCTTTATTTTCTATATTTTCGTATTTTTTGTATTTCTAAGTTTTTATTATTTATTTATGACATCATGGAATTATCCATTTGACCCAAATGGTTGAACTACTTACCCACCACCTAGATGGAAAAATGTGATTTCATTTCTAGGTTTATTTTAAAAATATCAAAATTTCATTGTATTAATAATTATTGTGTATAGATTTATTAGTAGAATTTAATATGAGAAACAAAAGTATTAGTGTTGGATTCAATGAGAAAGGATCTTATTTATTTAATGACTTAAATGTGAGACTTAATGAGAGGTAATTGAATGTATTTAATAGTATTATTTTGTTTACATTTTCTGCCCTTACAATAGAGTGAATCAAATTTAAGAGAAGGGGTATTTTAGTAAAGAAAAATTCCAGAAGCCAATACCTTATTCACACTTTTATAGGTAATATAAACATAAATTTCTATGAAAAATATCGTGTCACATATAGTGATTTTATAGAACCCTGATCTCTTACAATAACTCTGCACATAGAATCGAGCTGCACATTAGGAACATCTAGAGGTGTAATGTGGGCAATGTTTTCAACCCGCTCTTGACCTAACAGGTTGAACTGTTAAATTATCATTCGGTCTTGATTTTGGGTCTGAATCTATTGAAATTCACCATTTGGTCAAAAAATATGGACCTGGTAAAAAATCGTCTAACCCAAGTGGTTTAATATATATATTGTGTAGGTGTGTATAAACATGTATTTTATCAATAAAAATGTATACTTATTTTGTAGATGTAATATATGCATACAAATATTATTTTATGTTTATAGATTTGCTTGTGTGGCACAATCTGACCCAGAGGCTAAAATGGTTTGACCTCCAGGTCGGTGTTTAAAACATTGATTGTGGTTACAGGCCATCTATATTATAGCGGGTGGCACGACCCAATTGCTATAGTGACTGAACTGGACCGTGGCACAGCCTATATTGTGCCAGCCCATTGGTGGCACGGTGCACTTTACAGCTCCAGGATCATCTCCTGTGGTATGTTAAATTTATGGAGAGATGTTCCTGTAGATGGATTCTCATGCTTGCAGAATATGTAGAGAGTTTTTTCTTGCAAAAAATTATGTTGCAGATCATACACATATATAGGGGATGTGCAGAGATGCTCCCATTGTTTCTTTTCTATGGTACATTTGATGCCTCCGCAGGCCACAGGGGTGGGGGTGCTGTATCCTGGACCCAGTTAACAGGGTTATTGTGTTAGTAGTGGTAGAGTACACAGCCATGCGAGTCCCTCCAAGCAAAAACTATTCACACACTGTAAAAACATGGAAATCCTTAGCTTTGATGTTTCCAGGAATCTCCCCAGCAGCCATTTAAGTATGAGTTTAACATAAATGGGATGTGTCATGCACAGGAATCTCCCAAGCAGCCACTAAAAGAAATTCGAAAAAGTACAAACAGATCCAATGCAGATTTCTGAATTTCACTATAGACTTGTAAATATTCAAATTGTCAAAAACCCCCCATTCTATACACTAATGCTCTTGCTCGCCTATGAATTGATATCAATTCCGAGCTGGCACCTATACCAACTATACTTTAGGCCTAAAAATTCTGACCCTGGGCTGAACCGTCATTCTCCCTTAAAAATTTTCTACCATTCACAGAGTTGAAGTGTGAACCAATTAAGACCTCCTCAAAGGGAGGGGTGCCAAGTGACGACCAACTGAATGTATTTTGAAAGATAGGTTGTGATACTTGGATAATGGCCCCAACTCATCACTTGATATGTCTATCATGTAAGAAAAGGCTTTCAGTGTGGTCGGATTAAAAGGAAAAAAAACTTATTTGTGTTTTGTGTAGAGCCTTCAGTGAATTTAAATAGAAATACTTATCACTGTCCAAAGGGTGTTATAAAAATATAAATTTTGAAAGAGATCTTAAAGACAAATTTGGCCCAGTTCATCTTCAAAGTGAAGTGAAACCCAGGATCTCTTCAATGTCCAATTGATGCATTGTTGATTAGACACCTGACCTGACGATAGTTTGTCTTCAGGATGGAGCGTCTCTCTTTGAAAAGCTCATATGGTCAGGCTAAACTCTTGGGTACCTTGGTATCAGTCACAGGGGCCTTTGTAGTGACTTTTTATAGAGGCCCATCAATCATCCGCACTTCATCAACTTCCAACTCGTCCGATCATCATCATCATCAGCAACTTCTACTCTTTCCAAAATCCAGCTGGGTCTTCGGTGGTTTTCTCCTTTCACTTCATACTTTGGTTGTTGCATTTTTGCATATTATTCAGGTAATTAAGTTCCACCCAAACCCAGCATATAGATAGTTGGAGATAATGTCTGAATCCATCTGGTTTCCTTTTTATATTGGGTATTGGCAGGCCTCAATCGTTAACGACTACCAAGCAGAATTTCCGATAGCCTTCTTTTATTGTTTCTTTGCCTCCATCCAAACAACACTCATCTCTCTGGTTGCAGAAAGAGATCCAAGTGCTTGGAGATTAAGGCCTAATCTGGAGTTGATCGCTATTATCTATGCGGTAAGCAATCTATATATGGTTTCTTCGCATTAAACCTGTAGAATATCGCCCACACCATCAGAATTATGGTTAAGCTGAAGCCCATCCTTATGGGTTGGGCCTTTAATTAGATGAAGACGAAACCTAGGCATATAGTGGGCCTGTTTTGTTTCACAGGGTAGATGGATCATTATTCATTGAGACCAACCTGCTTTTTTTGAATTCATAGAAACTGGTTGTTTAAGTACGTGCAGTGATGTGAATTTGGTGCAGGCAATTTTTGGATGTGCAATTCGTTCCCTTGTTAACTTGTGGTGCTTAGGAAAGAATGGGCCCGTCTATGTGGCAATGTTCAAGCCCTTTGGAATTGTTATTGCAGTTGTAACGAGTAGCACCTTCCTTCGAGACAGTCTCTATCTTGGGAGGTACATATTTATATATATATTCTCTCTCTACTTGTGTTTGAGTTAGTCAGATGTAGGGGTGATCATTTCAGCCCAGCCCTGAAATTCTGTGCTTGGGCCTGGGTTTTGTGCGGGCCCGGGTCACATCCGGCCCGTAAATTTTAGGGTTGGGATTAGGGTTAATACTTAAAGCCTGGCCCTGTATATATTTAAACTTCTACATTTTCTGTATAATGTATACATATGTATACATGTTATTTTACATTATATTATATATTTTATATATAAATATTATACCGTGACATGTATAATCTATATTATATGTAATATTTTATATTAGATAATGTACAAAATAAGTTTATATACATGTTATATTATTTAATATAAAATATTATAAATATTTAATGTTTTATATATGAAAGATATTGCCCCAGAATCAGGCCCGGCCTGAGCCCATATAAACCTGGGATAGGACTTATGTTTTAGGCCCAGAACTGTGGGCTGGGCCGGGCCCGGGCCTAAACTATAGCCCTTATCATAAGTGCAAAGCCTGGCCAGCCTATCCAGGCATATGATCACCCCTAGTCGGGTGTGGAAAAGTGGAATGAAAAGAAAAAGAGTTCAGGGGCGAAACAATGGAAAGGGGCACCTTCCTTCTGGATCTGTGCTGCACTGTTCTCTTATAAGCCAAACAGAGCTTTAGAGTGTTTGTTTTGTTGTTGTGTCTAGGAGAAAGTAGTGATATTTATAATATAATTGGAATTCTGTGCAGTGTGGTGGGATCAGCTATAATCTCCGTTGGATTTTATGCTGTGATGTGGGGGAAAGCAAAAGAGTGGAAAATTGCCAAGGATATTGAAGAGTATAGCTTGATGTCAACCACCGAAAGGGTCCCTTTGTTATAAAACAAGATGAGAGTATTGAATCTTGTACCACTATTGGGCAACACACACAAGAGGAATAAGAAAAATAAAGAAGAGAGGCAAATGAGATTTCTTTTTCCTTTCTTTTTCTTCTTGTTTTTATGGATGCTGTATTCTCAACTGGGGCCATGAAAAAATGAAATAGGGACGTGGAGCTAAACGAAGTTAAAGTATTGTTGGATGTGTGTATATATGAATGTGTATGTATATATATATGTATCATACCGAAAAGGCATATAAAAAAAACTTATAGCTAATCAGCCTGCATCATAAAAGAGGCAACTAATCATATGCTATTCATCAAAATTCATGGGTTGCTCGTTTTGTATTTTTATATTTTTGCTTTTTATTATTTAATTATGATATCAATTGTTAATGCATTTGATCCAAAAGGTTAAATTGTTGATTTATTACTAAACAAGAAAATAATTTTATTGTTAGGTCAGTTTTAATTTTGTATCTCATTTTCATCATTAAGAAAAACAAGTCTTATTCATTATAATTATTTTTCTTTAACACAATTAATAGAAAATATTAAAGATGTGCCCAAAATTTTCTATAGATTTGTTATCTTTACAATGTTTGTTTGTTTTATTTTTATTTAAAAAAAATTGTTCTTTAACTGACATAATGGGTTGATCCATTTGACCTCGATGTTTGAATTTATTATGCACCACCTAGATGGAAGAATGGTTGTATTCCTCGGCCAATTTTTTGGTAAAAGGTCAATTACTTTAAAATATGAATAATATTAAAAGTAATGAATTTAGATCTAATTAGTAGAATTTATTGATGAAAAAAATGATTTAGATATAAAATTTAATGAGAGAAAATAAAAATTAATGGCTTAAACATAAGATCTAATGAAAGGGAATGCAAGTTGTCAACATCACCCACCCTCCTCTTCTCCTTTCCTTTTAACCTACTGCAAATAATAAATACATAAACTTGTTTTTTTGCCTTTCACATGCTAGTTTGCATTTTAAAAAATGATCAGGATATGCTTCAAAAGCATCGTTGGCACAAATACTGACTCAAAAGCATCGTTGGGTTGCAAAAAAACCCATATATAGGTTGTGAGTGAACACGCTATGATGTAAAATGGATCAAATGAGACCTGTTTTCGAAAACCCGTAACACCTTACACGTGCTATTTCCTTATTAAACGACCCGATTTTGACCCATACTAATCATGTATTGTAGAAAGGTCCCACCATTAGTCTTTTACATTTATTTGTTGTAAGTGGTTACTGGTTACCGACCATTGATTTGGTCTAATGACTTTGGTATCCTTTTCTTCTTAAGGCTCATTTTGGAAGAGTATAAATGCAAATTCGTAAGGCATAAAATTTTGTATTTTGTATTATTTTGTATGTATTTACATTCTATAAATTTGCATTTATACTTCTTCCAAATTCTATAAATGAGTTTTATACATAGTCATTACTGTAAAAAGAAGAGCTTTTAGTTGTCTAATTAATCGGGGGTCAGGTTTTTATTGGATTTATGTATTGAATTTTTATTAGTTGAAAGTAAATTGGTATACATTAAGAATAAATTAATCAATAATAATTAAAATATTCAAAATTCCAGTTTTTAATTTTGATTTTCTGTTAGTTGCAAACAGAAATTAACAACATTAATATGAATATTAATTAACAGAAATTTAATTTTCAGTAGGATTTTTTTTTATATTTTTTTCTTCATTTAGTGTTAACAGTAATTAATTAAAAGAAAATTAAATTTTAGTATATATATATATATATATTAATTTGGTGTTAATTTAGTAGAACTTTTCCTGTACTGTTTTTTGTTAATTCATTGTTAACAATAATTAATTAACGAAACTTTAATTTAAGTTTTTTTTGTTAATTTGGTATCAATTTTGTAGATTTTTTCCTATTTTTTGTTATTTTATTCCACAGTAATTAAATGACAGAATTTTAATTTTTACTATAGTTTATTTGCTAATTTGATATTAAATTAGTAGATTTTTTCTTTTTTTCTTCAATTAACAGTAAATTGCTATTAAAAAACATAATTGCTAAAATATTCAAAATTTTTGTTTTTATTTTTTTATTCTCCTCTTATGCAAATAATAGCTAACAGAAAATTTCTTTTAATTTAGTTTTAAATCTCCCCGATATTTTGACGTTTGCCAAAAAAAAAAAAAAAACTCTCTTCACATCTTTTTCCCAGCATCATGGTAGACCCCAGTCACCCAATCAAATCAAAGTATCCCCATCGACAAGACAATTCAACAAAAAAGGATTGGTGTATGATCGATGTATCAACCCAGCAACCGGATGAGACCGGATCTGCTCCTCACACCTGGCGTTTCACAGGCGCTTCCCACGCACATCGTGTATTAGGAACATCTCCTGTACTTATTTGTTATTATTCCCGGGAGATGTTGCCAATGCACAATGGATGCGGCTGTGAGGCGCCCATTTGTGAGGAATAGATCCCGTCACCAACCGGATTATTAACCGAATAAAATAAAGGGAGAATGACCAATCAGCCCAGATCAGAGTTTTATAGCCCCAAAGTACAGGAGAAGTGCTTCATCACCGTGAATTGATGCTAAATTCATGGGCAGGATGTGGTTTATTAAAATTATTCTGATTTAATACATATTAGATGATTATGATTCTTCTTTCCCCGTCCTCCCTCTCTCTCTCTGTGTGTATGTGTGCGATGACTTACACAAATAAAATTTCTTAACTGAGTGAGACGTAGAGAGGATTAACTGGAAATCTGCAATGAGGTCAGGCTGGTGGAGTGCAGTGCCGTTTGCAGGCATGGTGGTGGTGGAATTCATAACAGTAATCCTAATCATGCTTTGCAAAGCAGCCATGCTAAGGGGGATGAGTAATTTCATCTTCATCATGTATTCCTCTGCTCTCTGCACACTCTTCCTCCTCCCTTTTTTCTTCTTCCACAGGTTTGCCTTCTATTTTCCCTTCCTTCACTTGAATTAGATTATATTTTTACTGGTTTCCAGTTATTTGACAAACTGTAAAAGAAAACCGCTTCGAAAGCATAATTTCGACGGCCCTCCAAACAGGCCATCTTCCGATTTTGCTTTCCCAAGCCAACACCCCACAGTCTAACGTCTTTTATCTTCTCCTTTGCAGAGCCACACTTCCTCCGGTCACCTTCTCCCATCTCTGTAAACTGTTTCTTCTTGGCCTAATTGGGTACAAACATACACTGCTTTGAATTATACAGATGTGTTTGCATATTAATTTTAGTGTAACAGATGTTAACCCTGATGAAATCCAAGCAAAACTGAGGTTTTTAGTTTATCTTTTGCAGTATCCTTGTGCAGATCTTCTCATATACTGGTCTCAACTACAGCTCTCCCATGCTTAACTCTGCTATGAGCAATGTTTTGCCAGCTTTTACCTTCATACTTGCCATCATTTTCAGGTTCTGCTTTGAATATTGATATCAAAGTTACAGGATAAAGAATTAATACTGAAAATTTAATTTAATTGTACCTTTTTACCTACTAGGGTGGTGTTCAACAACATGTTAGTTTTTCTTTTTAAAGACAACTGCCAACATCAACAAAATCGTATTGCTTTTGTTGATAGTATTTTTGTTTTTGTAAACAAAACCGACCTTCTATATGTTTGGTTTTTGTTCACCATTTATTTAAATGTTTTTCAATTTAAACGCTTCTTGCTTTTGCTGTTTGGTTGGACATTACTTGAAACATTTTTTGCTTTTCACCTCAGATTAACATGCACAAAAGTGTGCTACATAAGAATTTCGTTTCAAAAAATGCTAGGGCGTTGGGGAAAATAAAAATTTGACATTTCCCCAAATACTCCATGCATAAAAATCAAAATGATTTAGTTTTTTGGTATTTATTTGATAAATGGTGAAATCATAATAGTTTCATATACAATAAATGCCAATACCTATATGGCACTGATGACAACATTTTTTCAATAAAATCTGCAGAACCAAACGTCACCATTGTCTAACTTTTAACCTTTTTCCATGTATTTTTTTGACAGAATTTTTATCATATTTTTCTTTTTTAAATAAAGTTACATGGAACCTTTTCTATTTTTATATTATATATGTATTCCCAAGTCCTAACTATTAAAGTGTGAGCATGTCTTATACTGCCGGTCCCAAACCGGGATATAGAAGGGTTGTGTTAGGTTGGAACCGGCACCGAAACTTTTGCCAATCTCTTATGGTTCTTTTTCTTTTTTGTTGAATGGAGGTCTGTGTCTCTAACCATGCGTCATGGTTTTTAAAAACCAACTGGTGACCGAACGGGTCAGGGGTCCGGTTATCGGTTCGAAATGTCCGACTGTTCGATCCAAATGGCTGGCATATATCGACCAAAAAAAATAAAAAATTTTAAAAAAATTAAAATTTTGGAGAACGGTCAAAACCATTCGAACAATTTGAACGATTAACCGGCCAGTTCAGCGGTTTATTGATCAAAATCAACGATTTTGAGAGAAAAACGGTTTTGGAGGAAAACAGAACCGATTCTTGGTTTTTTCAGCCCGACTGTCCGGTTCAGTCCGGTTTTGAAAACACCGCCATGGGTTGCATGATAGGAAAAACTTCGGCTGAGTTGAAAACATTTTTGGCATAACGCCTTACCATAGTTTGGGGTGTAAAGGAGTAATTACCCTCAATATTCTTTTTAACCATAAAAACAAATAGGGTATAAATGGAGATTGGATTTGCTCCTCACAATACCTGCAGCCACATATCTAGATTCGACTGAATGAATTTGTGTCATGCCCAAAATCGATTCCAATAGCCCAGGCTGTTCGCTTCCAACAGCAAAAATTCCTGATTGGTTTGATTTTTTAGGTGGTTTCTGGGGGATCGGATCTGCTACCCACGAGCTGCTCCCACATCTCTCTACTCACGAGATATTACATCTGCGTATTGGGAATATCTTCCTTGTCATTCATGGTGGGAAGATGTTCCTAATACAAGGTGGTGATGCAATGTGAGTAGGGATGTGGGAACAACTTGAAGGTAGCAGATCCCGAGTGCGTTTCTGGTAGATATGAACCCTGATGTCTGAAAAGAAAAAGTAAAAAGAAGAAAGCTTGGAAAATAGCTGTAATGTCTGAATCAGAAACAATTTAATATATTTTATACAATTGTTAGCATATTTTGTCTATAATTTTATTTTATATATATTATATTATTATAAGATATAATATATGCATTTTTTATTTAAGTTATATTTATAGAAAGATTTTTGTAGGACTTGTTTGGTCAATGGCAGATTTTTCAAAGGACAACCAAGAATAGAAATTCAAATATGTATAATGTAAGAAGAAGGTTTACATATATAAAGTTGTGCACTGTACATTTGTATCTGTACTCTTCCCAAACCTAGCCCTAAGAGAAAGGTTTTCTGAATTCAGAGTAATGTTATGATTTTGAATCAAATGACAACTGACCCACCCATGACAATGGGTGGTGATTCTATACAAGGGGGGGGGGGTGATTCTATACAAGGGCCCGCCAATTATTGAGAATCCTTCACCTTCTAACATACCTGACTCGCATCTTTTCTCATCACAATCAAACTGGGTCATTGGAGGTGTTTTCTTTTCAGCTGATTGTCTGATGACTGCATGTTGGTATATCATCCAGGTAGAGTCCGAAACTGCTGCAGACTTTTCTCACGCCCCTCGGCCCCTCGCCCCCTCGCCCTCGAGAAATAAACGAAACAAACAAAAGATATGAATTTGCATTTGCAGGCACCAATTGTTAAGCAGTACCCTCATGTGCTTGGCCTGGTTTTTCTGGGTTCCATAATTACAACCATTCAATCCGCACTAATCTGTCTAATTGCAGTAAGAGACCCAAGTGCATGGAGATTACGGCCTGATTTGGAGATGATTGCTATTGTATACTCAGTAAGGGAATAACAAACTCTGTCATTAGCTTTGATTCCATCTATCTTTATAAGAATAATAATAATTTGGTTTAGGTCTTGTGAGAATGGTCTATTTCGATTCTGATTCTAACTGTGAACCAAAAAAAATCTATCTACCCATACCCATACCCATCGGCGAAAAGAAAAGATGAAGAATATAATATGGTGAATCGCAAACGCTTTTACTAATTTTCCTCTACTTGGGCGACTGGAAAGTGATGCAAACCAATGTGTCTCGTGTCGTGTAGGCAGTTTTTGGGTATACGTTAGCTGGGGCTGTTTTAGTGTGGTGCGTGCGCAACAAGGGGCCTTTCTATATTTCCATGTTTATTATACCTTTGAGGATAGTAATTGCAGTCATGTTGGGTGTCATCTTCCTTGGCGAAACTCTCCACACTGGCAGGTTTGTGTGGTTTCCTGTTTTCTTTTTCTCTCTTCAGACCGCAAAATATTCAATTGTAGGCCATACTTATAATTTGAATTTACACTCTACTTCAGCTCAACCTTCTGAAATTAAAGAATGTTTGCTCAAGTTTTACCATATATCTCTCTCCCTCCCCTCCCCTCCCCTGTTTGAAATGATAAGAAAAATTTTGATCTTTTCCGTGCAGTGTGATTGGATCAATTATAATAGCTCTGGGGTTCTATGCTGTGATCTGGGGAAAGGCCCAAGAAGAGGAATTGGTAGACAGCGGAGCCAGTGCCCCTCTTTTGCAAGGTAACAACAAGCTGGAAGAAACGTAGAGGATAAGTCTGTAAGGTCCTGCAGACAGGAAAGTCTATGCACTGTTTAATGTCAGGTATCATCTGGTGCTCCAACATCATAAATATGACCATGACCTTCAGGGTTTATTGAGAAAAGTTTGAAACATAATGAGAATATGAGACATGGGTTCACCAACTACACCTACAAGCAATTATCTTGTATATGTTCTCAATAGTTGATTTCTATGGATACCACCTGTATTCCAAAGAATCAAACAAAGTTGTGGTAACGCTACAACACCCCTCCCCATACCCCTTCATTTGAAAATGCTAACGATTAGAAGTAAGGAATCATTGTGCCTTTCTTTACACTAAAACAACATGCAACTGTATTTCTCAAAAATCGTTAATTGCATTCTAGTACCCTATATTTGGAGCTGATCTCAATTTAGTACCCAAAATATTGAAAGGTGTCACTTTAGGGGGTGTTCTTTAGTATGGATGAGAACCATTGTGGCAGGGACCAATCTATATCACACTAGACATCATATTCTACAGTTGTTCTGAATTGTAGACAAACTGTGTAGATTGGACCAGTCCACATTCAGAGTGGCGTTATTCTATGTATCTCATATATAGTTTATGAAGTGATATATACAATCGAACATTAATGTTTAATTTTTGCATTTTATATGATAAATAAACTGAAAAAGCATCGATAAATTATTATTAACCAATAAATATTAATTTCAATGAAAAAACATAGTAAAATAATTAAAAATAAAAATTATTGTTTATTTATAAAAACATTAAAAAATAATATTTAAATGAATGAAAAAAGAGTGGAGGAGCACCGCTAGGCTTGTGCTAGAATTAACATAAAAATTATTATTTTATTGATAAAAATATTAAAAAATTAACATTAAAAATTATTATTTTAAGATTTAAAAATTAAAAATAAAGAAAAGTATGTAGAGTATTGTATCAAAATAGAGTGTGGAAATGTTATGGACCAACCACATCCACGAGATATATGTGTTGACAAGATTTTGGGTTGTGGACCGGGACGGTCCACGATATATTATGGACCAATCTTGTCAATAGCCAACCGAACTTTGTGGCCATCCCATGGTGTAAACTAAAATGGACCATCCATGAGATGACCAGGTTCCGAACACCACGCTAGTCTAGCACTCACCAAGCAATATAGTGGATAGTTAAACTACCAAGCTTCCATTCTTTTTTTCCCTTCTTCTTCTTCTTCTTCTTCTTCTTCTTCTTCTTCTCCTTGTATGGCCATTAACATATACAAATCTACATCCTTAATGTTCATAATTCAACACAATAAAGGAGAAACTTCTATGCAATCACACGAGCCCCTCCTCTTACTCTGTCTATCTTGGGATCCTCCCATTTAAGGAGAAACCCCTATATAGTCACACGAGCCCCCATCTCCTACTTACAAATCTTTCAACTTCTTTTGAGTTAACTTGTTTGGGTGATTGCCAAGTTAGCCTAAGGGCGCTACGTGACAGACTCCATGGCCGCTCTCTTCGAGCCGCGTTAGCATCCGTTACATAATGGGAGAGCACAACTAGGAAAGAGTATCCCACATGGACAAGGAATCAGACTCCACCGGGGAAGAGGGAGCCTCCTAAAGACCTCAGTAGACAACTTCATCCCAACAACCCTGAATGCCCAATCCGATCAGAACACAGACCTTTAGCTATAAATTGGTACAACACGCTTAAGGTAAGGGACTTTTGGATTCAAAACTCAATCAAGCACCCGTCTTACATTCACCTCGGTCTTGACCAACCCACATACCTCGCTTAGTCTTAACCGACCTCTTTACCACTCACTAACTTGAGCATTGGAGTGCCTACACGGGGAATAACTTCTTAGGCTTCTAACTCTTCTTGTGATTGTAGACTTCAGTGTGTGGCTTCGTCTTTCCACCTCAGCTTCATCTAGTTGGCAAGACTATCTAACTGTAGCCTCGGTTCAAAACACCTTGGATCACACAACATCAGATTGGTGTTGTATGTGGGATCTATACAAAAAGCTGCTTTCCTAACCTCCTAATCGTGCACCAAATGCAATCATGCAAAAGTACGCATATGACCACTTTGCAACCCGCTCCTCGTCTCGGGGATCCCGCTCATTCCATACATCTCCACCTTGAGAACCTCAACGTCAGGCCATGGTCGATCTCGCCTAGTACAAGGCCATGCAGCTGAAGGTTGATTGTATCCTAGCCATGATGGAGACACTAGGACAATCAACTCAGGCTCCCCTAACTCCTTGCCCCATCGCGCAAGTGCCTACAACGGTTGATCCTCGAACCAAGGACCCCAAAAGGCACCGTGCGAACCGAAAGAGAGCTTAGTCATCATTGCGGAAGTCTAATTCCCAAGCCCGGTCCTGCACCCACAACGCCCACAACAGATCCCACCACTCCAGCAGCAAGGTCCAGGCGAAAAGAATGGCTTGGCCAGTGCATACACCCGTCCCTGCTCTCAATAGTTGAATCCAACTCGATACAAATTCTAATCAATGCACTGCAGGCCAAGATATTGACGCAAATCCATGACCGTAGCTTCGTTAGGTGCCCTGAAAGGATGAAAACCCAAGGCAACAAGAGAGATTGGGACAAGTACTATGAATTCCACTAGGACCACACCCACAAAACCGAAAGCTACCACGACCTCCGCCACCACCTGAAAGACCTCGTCTGGCGCAGATGCCTCCATGGGTTCATTGACATCAAAGAACATAAATTCTAAATGGCCAGGGAACACCAATCCACTACACACGTGCGCTAGCTCGGCCGAGGCCGTTGACCGAATATGGTGTCGCATACAACTCGTCAAATATCTGATTGACCTCAAACGACCAAGGCTTGGCAATCACCACACGAGAGACCCGACTGACCGTAAATGGTCAAGACCAGAACAAGCCCTCAATGGGCATTACAGGAACGACATGCCCGCCACAACGGTAAGAGGACGACCATCGAACTCCGTGCACCCCGATGACCGACAGTCAGAACACCACGACACCTTGGCCCCTTGACCCCTCCATCGAACTCTATACACCTTAGCCCCTCCTTCCTTCAGATTCAAAGAGGGCGGGACCAACCAGAGCCAACGTCAACCACATCACCCTCAATTGGCCTCAGCCTCTTATGTACCTAAGGAGTTGTGACATCGGAGCGGCGCTGCTAAATAGCCACCTCTGCTTGGGCTACCACCTTCCTCTACGCAGGGCTTGCATGCACCTCGCCCTCTCTTCCTTGTCGACCACAACAATATCTGCCAAAGAAAGAATAGTTTGTCAAGACTAAAGAGATGAGGCAAAAAAGAAGTACAAAGCAAGGATAGAACAATATGGGGCTCCATTAGCCCAACACGAATCAACATTGCATATGTGGTGTACTCCTATACATCCACCCTTACTATTCGCCTTATGGCCGCCAACTCCCTAGATAGCTTGGCCTTGGTTGGCACCCTCACCTTAGTCTTCGAGATTGACAGCTTGGCAGGGAACGACCAACCCCCCGAGTAGTGCACGAAGAAGAACCCCTCCTTCTAGTGTTTCATCGAGGAGGGGGCTCCAACGAGTAGGGGTGTTTACGGTTCGATTAACCGAACCGTGGGGCATTTTTTGTAATCGAACTGGTAATACTTGTTTTTGGAAAACCGGTAAGCGAAACCTATCGGTTAACCGGTTGACCAATTCAGTTCGTTGGTTTTTCGGTTTTTTAATTTTTAGAATAATATAGTATAAAAATATATAGTATTATATTTTAAATAATAATATATCATATATTATAAATATATGTTTATATATAGTGCATATAATATACAAAATATATAATATACATAAGTATATATAAAATATATAAAAATATATGTATACTGGTCGGTTCGGTTAACTATCGGTTTTCTATATTGGTTAATCGAAATCGAACCAATACCTTCAGTTTTTTAAAAACACCGAACCGATCGGTTCGGTTAAACAATTTTTTGGTTCAGTTTCGGTCGGTTTTTTCAATTGGTTTGGTTTTTCGGTTTTTTTTGCTCACCCCTACCAACGAGTACCTTATTGTTCTACTGAGCCAAGAAATAATAGTAGCCTTGCTGATGCTTCTTCAGGTGGAGAAAGTATGTGAATATCGGCAGGGTAATGTCCACATTGTGAACTGTGCAGTAGCAGAGAAGGCCGACTAGGTACCTAAAGGAGTTGGGCATAAGCTGGATTGGCTGGATGCAGTACCACCTCAACACCATCGCAATGCTCATACTCAAAGGGAACCTCAGCTCAACTATCAGCCTATGCTCATAAATACAAAGTTCACCCCAGCTATCGGCCCTTTCACCTATGTCAGGACACCTCAACTCGTACTCTTTAGGGATACAATAAAGGGCTCTAATACAGGTGAAGTCTTGAGGTGTTAACCTACATGGAGAAGAAGTGAAGCGTCTGCCGAACCGTGCAGAGGCGCTGATCCCCTCTTTGGACACCACCTCTACGTCTACCTTGGCCTCGTCGGTTTCCCCAACTTCAGCCTCCCGAAGGACCTCAACCTCCTTCACTGTTGTACCCTCGCGCTTAATCCCCTCAACCTCGGCCCCATGGACGTCAGTCTCGCAGACTACGAGCATGGTGGCCTCGGGGTGAGACCCCATCTTGGACTCACTACCCGACAAACAAGAGTAGGACGAAGAAGAGGAAGAACAAGAAGACGAGAAGGAAGATAAAGACATCTTACCGATGATTAACACCGCGAAACACTTGAAACACCAGTCGAGGACTAACACTCATCGAGATCTTTTGATCACTTTCACCCAAAATGACAAAGGGAAATGGCTCGCCATCTCCGTTCATATGAAGGTAGTCAATGGTTCAGATCAATCCAGATCAACGACGTAGGACTTCTACTACACTTTGCATGTGCATACACCTCAAGAAGACGAAACGTGTCTATCGACTCATAACGGAAACGACACGAGCATTGAACTGCCCAGTCAGCCCATAACGGAAATGGGGCCTTAATATCTCATAGGAAATTCCCAATTAGTACCCTATACTTTGGGCTTAGTGCTACATTGGTCCCCGAACTTTAAAATGCGACAATTTAGTACCCAAACTTTTAAAACGTGACAATCTAGTACCTACAGTTAACAAGCTGTTAACCAGCCATTAAGTGGCATTTGAAAAAGACACAAATGCCCTTCTAGTGTTATTCAATTTTCCTTGTCAACCATCTAAACATTGACAAAAAATTAGTTGTCCCAAATCCTTGCCTTTTCCATTCAAGAAAGTTAGAGTCACGTTTTAGTGGGCATTCTAGTGACCCCAACTTTCTTGAATAGAAGAGGCAAGGATTTGAGGCTGCTATTTTTTTGTCAATGTTTGGATGGTTGATAAAGAAAATTAGATGACACTCGAAGGGCATTTGTGTCTTTTCAATTGCCACTTAACTGTTGATTAACAACTAGTTAATAGCAGGTACTAGATTGTCTTTTTCTTTTGGTGAAAATACTGATCATATTCCAAACAAAGCAGAAGGAAACATACAACAAAGACAAACACCAAATAAACAGGCTACGGAACTAACAGACAACCAAACAAAGAAAAGAAAAACTGAAAGATAAAAACAAACTATTCTACTAAGGCCGATTACAGAAGGCCAAGTCCATGTTTACTATATTAGAAAGACAAAGAGGACCTGCATAATTTGATTTAAAACTACCAGAATAACCACATTTGGCCGCCATATGAGCTGCTTGATTTACTTCTCTCGGACAGAACTGAATCTTGTACTTTCCTTTTGTTGATGATTGTTTGAATATCCTTACAACAGAAGAGGATATTCGGATCTTCATAACCTTCTGAATCATTGATCATTTTAACAAGAAATTCACAATCCGATTCAAACCATAAGTCTGAAAGATTCAAACCATCTGCAAAAGAGACTGCCTCTAGAAGGACTGAATTGTCATGTTTTGAAAGTTCTGGTACGAAATTGTGGAATTTTAAAGTTCGGAACCAAAGTGACACTAGACCCAAAGTACAGATACTTATCGGAAACTTTCCCTTATATAAATCATTAAAATATGATTTCTTATTTTTTTCTTCAAAAACTGACTTTAATTTCTTGGATACAAAGCCGTGGGGTCAAATCCATTCATCTACGAGATTTGGCACGTAACACCATACAACCAATACATGAATTAATACATTAAATTTTCTCTTAACGTGAGAGGAAAAGAAACGAAGTGTATTCCAGAAGCATGGCCAAATCATGCTTAGTGCTGGCAATGTCTCCATTGCCATGGAGCAATTGAATCTTTTGATTTAATAAGATGGACGACAGATGGACAATCTGCCTGAATAAGCATATTTTTTCCCCATCGAAGCTGATCAGCCATCTTTCACAGCTAAGAGCATCTCCTTCATCTTCACCATCTTTGGATCTCTTCCCAGCACTAAGCATGATTTGGCCATAATAAATCGACCTTCAGCATCGGCCGTAACTCAAGTCGCTATTCCCTTTTCATCTTTATACAAATCATAAAAATAATCACATCAAAACATAGTTTTTAAAACCGAATTCAACCGGAAAAACTAGAAATCGGTCACTTGATCAATTTCATTTTTTCCTAAAATTATTATTTTTTAAATCATTGATTTTGGTTAATAAATCGCTGAACCAATTAGTTAATTATTCAAATTGTTCAAATGATTTTGATCGTTTTTCATTTTTTTTTTTATTTTTTATTGAAACAGATCAATCGTTTAAATCGAACAGTTGGACCATTCGACCTAGTAACCGAACCCCTGACTGATTCGATCGTCAGATCAGTTTTAAAAACCATGCATCAAAATGTAAGCTAATATCACTTTTTTCTACATGTTGAACCTATAACCCATCATTTGGGTGTGCTTGCAGGCTCATTAACTCCATTCCAGATCTTCTTATTTTATTAATTATTCAGGCTGATCACAAAACACCCTTCCTGGCTAATCAAATCGTCCACAACACTAGAGCCTGAGACTGCAATATTAAAACCTCTGCATCTTCCATCAGGTTCAACTGCTGAATACAGTTTGTTAACCATTTAACAACTGTATTTTCCCTCACCCCTTCTGGCATCCATCTAATACTTCCAAGCTACACCATCTTGGAAAAGCTGCATCATTAAAATAAATGTTTTAATAACTTATTTATAGTCATGTGATACCTGTATCTATTATTATTAATATATAATTTTTGTCCGAATCATACTCATGCATCTTTAAAATTGCCTCTTCCACGCACTTTGCATATATAACATGTTAAACCTTAATTATCAAATTCAGAGTGGAGACTGGATAGGGTTCTGATTGGTTATCATGTTTTTTCTCACATATGAATTGGAATATGCTCCTCACAGATCACATCTCACACTGACCTGACCTTACATGTATATTCCGTGCATTGAAAATATTAACCCAATTAGAAGAGATATTTCTGATCTGGTGGGATGTGCCTATGAGGTCGGTGTGGGGTGAGAGAGGAGCAGATCCAAACTCGCAGCATATATAAATTTATTCGCAATAGAAATAAAACTTTTGAACCAACGTTCTATGAAACCATGACTATATTATTACGTGCTTGCTTGATTTCACTTCGAATAAGTACTATTTTTTTGTATGTACTTAATAAAGTGTTGGGAGTCTTGTGACCACATTAAATAGAAAATAAGCATTTGTACGTGTTTGGTAAAAAAAAATACCTATTTGATAAAGAAATATTTATTAAAAATGAAAAACAATAATAAAATAGTGACAAAACAAAATGCAAATAAGATTTTGCAAACAAAGAGTAACTCTACTTTTCTTGATGGATCCAACAACACTTGAACACAACCTTGGACTTCACAAAGCTGATAATACAATCTGAATTGGGCAGAACTTCTTGGAAGTTTTGATAGCCTTCCAATAAAGAGGATATTCAGTCGGTGTTCTTGTGACTTCTACACATTCCCTTTTATAAGTGATTGTCACAACGTCTCTCCTATGAAAGAGGAAATAAGAGCCGTTACCAAAGATAAACTCACAAACATTAATCTTGTTCTACCCTTTCGGATTGAGAGAAGTGTCTCAATAATCATGGTTTTAAACCACATGATCACTCAGCCCATTCTAAGCCAAACATCCTCTTGTTGATTTAGTCAAAGGCTGAAATGGGTCCAACTTAGACCCAATAACCACCATGTGGACAAGTCAAAAACAGTTTATAGAAAACAAATTTATTTTTACTAGAAAATAAATAATAACATATAACAAAAACTATAATTGGTGTGTATTGTAGTGTGTTCACAGGGATGATATCATTAAGATACTCCATCAACATGTAGCTTTTCACATGGCCAGTGGATTCTCCTACACGTTGAGAATTCTAAATATAATATATTAACAGAAAGATATTGATATACAATCATCTACCGTGGTATCCCTTGTAGGTAATTGTTACTAACAAAAAAGAAGATGGATGATTTTTAGCCAGCTGGGATACCTCATGGGCAGCAGAGTTATAGCGCCTACTTATGTACATAAGTTTAACAGAGTTCAAGTTCTGAAGTAACAAAAAAGATTGCCCACGGATAGCTCTTATGATCATTGAACGCGCTTATCAGACTTTGGGAGTCAGCACAAACATATACTTCATCAAAAGCCCAACTTTGAAGATCTTTGAGTGCCTCAAAAACAGCAAATATTATTTCAGCTTGAAACACTGACTGAACTTCAGAAGTATGACCTCCTAAAATCTTTATATAAGAAAAATTTTTCAATAAAATGATGATGCTTGCCAAAAGTATATAACGAATCTGAGATCTTTCCTGCATCAGTGAACACGATAAAGTCAATTTAAAGGCTCATGAGAGTTGCTTTTTTTTAAGTACTTTTTAATAAGTGGGCCTGTGAAAATTTTGAGACTAAAAAGTCTTTGCTTATATTTTTAAATACCCAGAATACCTTCATCTCTCTTTAAATCCCCTTCTTCCTCACTTGAACAGGGTCAAGCATACCTGTGGCATACTTTCCTTGAGAGAGACCATAAATGGATACCTTCCTTTGACCTTGTTTATATGTACGAATGAAGTGAGGGAATATAAGTATTTATGAGAAAAGTAGTTTATAAAATATCTCCGTCCAAATAAATACTTAAAAACGTAATAAATGATTTAACAAATAAATCATCAAATAGTCTTAAGTGATTATTAAAATAAATACTTCTAAAAAATAATTCTACACCCACTTAATCATCAACCACTTTGAGCAACGAACAATCCTACTGTAACAAAAAATAAATAAATAAAATAAAATAAAAATAAAAAACCGTGCAAACGGCGGAAACAGACCCTTTAATTTATAGGTAAGCGCACCAGGTTGTTGTTTTTGTTTGGCTAACACATTTATAAGGCACGTCCGTATATTCCAATTGGATCGTTCGATGACCAATGACTATCACGGTATCACTGTTAGATTAATAGGATGTGCCCAAATGATTCCGGATGACCATCATCAGTCATGTTTGTTCGTTTGGATAGTTTTTTTTTTTTTTTTTAATAAATACAGAGAGAGACAGATACCCTGTAATTTGGGGTAGTGACAGATAAATAGTGTTTCTAATTGATTTAACTGACGGAAGCCGTTAGGGTAGCTTATTTGTACTTTTCTTTTTTTGTTTATTTGTACTTTCTGCATCTAAAAGTAAATTAGATACACTCTTCCCCGACACGACACTCCTCGGAGACGAAGAAGAACCGCGGAGGGAGAGGGAAAAGAGGTTAGAGGAAGAGATGAGGCTGAGATCGTCTGTGGGGGCATTGCTGCCATTTGCAGCCATGATAGCGCTGGAGTGCTTGGATGTAGGGATGACAACACTGAGCAAAGCGGCTTTGTCTAAGGGGATGAGTCATTTCGTCTTCGTCGTCTACTCAAATGCCCTGGCCACTCTCATCCTCCTTTCTTCTTACATCTTTCTCAGGTCTGCTCTATAATTTCTCCTCATTTTCTTCTCTCCATTTCCCCTCATCTAATTACTTTTATTTCATCGGCTACTTGTAAATCTATCAAATACTGACTCTCTCTCTCTCTCTCTCTCTCTTCATTTTTCCCTTAATTGCAGGAAGAAGAGACTTCCTTTAACCTTGCCTCTCCTCTGTAAATTCTTCCTCCTCGCACTTGTCGGGTCTGTAATTGCTTCTGGACAGCTGTAGTCGTTGAATTTTGAATTAGGTTTTGTTATTCTTTCTTCTGAATGCCAAAAGAAACTAGAAAAAAGGAATGGAAGAAACAAGATGGGATAGGGAGATTGATGAAATTGTAGTTGAATCAATTGTAATGCAGGATAACAGTGATGCAGAGCTGTGTATATACGGGTATAAGCTACAGTTCTCCCACTCTTGGATCCGCCATCGGCAACTTGGTCCCTGCCTGCACCTTCATTCTTGCTGTTATTTTCAGGTTTTGCCTTTTCCCCTTCTTCACCGGTCACCACACGTGTCTATTGACATTCTCGATCGTTGGCGTGCTTATTTTTTAGTGGATTTATAGCCTTTGTACTACGTGCGAAAAGACGTATGCACATGGGCCCACATAACATCTTTTGTAACACTCGTCAGATATTGAATGGTAAGATCAGGACATGTAGAGTAGATTGTATGGGCTCCCATTAGTGCATACCACGTGCCCCTACATCACATCTTACGTACAATGCTCCAAATGCACGGTTGAGATGGGGAGGGGTGCCAAGTCGGGTTGGCCCGAGTTAATAGCCCTTGGGATTGTTACGGTGGAGGGGGTAAATCTGTTCACGACAAAATGCTTTACAACAAATTTAACACATTCTATCTCCGCACATCTCATATCATGGTAAGATGATACACACAGATCACGGTGTAACTTGTTGAAAAAAATACTATTTTTTTCTGTCGTGAGCATATCGCAGTTCTGACTTCTGATTAAACCGTAAGGCGTTAAGACATCATTTTCTATTTATTCAATTGCGTTACTGTTCAGGCTCTTTGAGCCTGGTTTGATTGCTAATTGAGTTTGAACCGATTGAATTCGAGCTAGTATTTCTATTTAGAATTGGTTTAAGCTTGAAACACAGACCTTATGTTTTATTACTGAGTTGAGTGAGCTTGAATAGTCTAATATTTGGCTCTGCTTGAATAGTCTAATAGCAGTTGATAGGTTTCAATTGGATGAATATTGATTAATAAGCTATCAGCTTTTTCGACTTCTGTTTTTTGCTTATAGAAAAAGAACTCAAAAAAATTACGATACTTTTCTTAGTGCTTTTATTGTAGATTAAAGGGAAATCGGATTTGTTCCTTATAAAATTGCATCTCACACCAACCTCACGATACAAAGGCATGCATCGAGAACATTTTCCCATGAATGCAAGTACAGGAAATGTTCACCATGCACAGCTTAAAATGCCTCATGTTGGTGTGAGGTGTAAGTAGAGAAATCATTTGGAGAGAGTAGTCGGCCTAATAAATTTTTGTAGTAGCATGTCTAGGGGCCAAATTTATAATAGAGATCATCAGCCCAATTCTAGTTGTGCAAAGCTTGGTTGTGTTCGGATTGTTCACAGATCACAGCCTTACATGTGGATGAATAATAAATAAAAAAGTTGACCAATGTATGAAAAATTTCAAGAGGAACACTTTGCCACTACCAGTGGGAGAAAAGGGGGTAAAAACTGAGAATAGATAATCTCTCCTTTTCGTTGAACAAGTTTGAAAACTGACAAGCTTTATAAATTCTTCTTTGGTTTCGGTAGGATGGAAAAACTAGATCTGAGAAGTTGGAGCAGCCAAGTCAAAATCATGGGCACTTTAGTATCCATCTCGGGGGCCTTGGTAGTTACCCTGTACAAGGGTCCGTCCATCGGAACCACTCTTTCTTCATCACAACTTCCAGACAAGAGATTTTCATCCTCTCCATCCAACTCCTTGACCGGAAATAATTGGATCCTTGGAGGAGTATTCTTTGCAGTTGCTTCTCTATCACTTTCTATATGGAACACTCTTCAGGTATAGAAAAAAATTAAAACAATAAGTTAAGATCTTACTTCAAACTCCACACTCATACTCTAATAACTGTGCTTCTTGTACCTTACAGGCAGCGATTGTTAGAGGGTACCCAGATGAGACGACCATAGTCTCCTTCTATTGCTTGTTTGGGACCATCCAAACTGCAGTGATTTCGTTGATTGCAGAGAGAGACCCCAATGGTTGGAGTCTAGAGCTAGATGTAAAACTCATTTCAGTTGTCTACTCAGTAAGCAAACAGCAAAACTACTGTCAATTGTTCTGATCGCACCCTCGCCCCCTTAAAAAGGAAAAGCAAAACGAAAGAAAGAAAAATAATAGGATAGCAATTGAGAAATTATTTTCCTAATAACTTGTTATTTTCTCCTCAGGCTGTTTTCGGAAGCGTGATAACTCCTTGGGTTAGTACATGGTGCATAGAAAAGAAGGGGCCTGTATTTGTAGCCATGTTCAGGCCCTTAGGAATCGCTATTGCAGCATTAATGGGTGTCATATTCCTCGGTGATACGCTCCATCTCGGAAGGTAGAAATCTTTACTTATAGTTTCTATTTTCAGTTCCTTTGATTTGAAGCGATTCTAATTAATTAGCCTTCTAGGAGCTATATATATATATATATATATATATATATAACCATGTTTGGTATCAATTAGTTTTCTCAGGCAACAACACACCACCTTAGAATTCAATAAAGTATTCCACTCTCTATACACATTTTTTTAATGTTATTCGTTACTAGTTAGCCACCACATAAGCTTAAAATGAGAAAATGTTTTCTCTGTTACAAGAAACATCAATTTGACATTTTTTCAATAAATTGTTTGTACAGAACCCAAGTTATGAGTGGTACTTTTAAAGTTGACATTGTTTGAAAAATACTTCAAAGCCACTCAAGCAAATAAGAAAAAGTAAAGAGCAAAAAAAATCAAGCGGGATTTGCTGCCCATTACTCTCTACCCACACCCTATACACCATGAATTGCAGCCACACACCCACACCCTATCCACCATGAATCCATGAATTGCAACCACAAATTGCCATCTTGTATTGTGAGCTCTTGGAAAAGGCGCAGGTAGAGAAAGTGAATAAAAGTCTGGGTTTCGAAAAAAAAATACTTATATAGCACTGATACTTAAAAAACACCTTGAAGAAATAGCATTGATTAGCGTTAATTGATACCAAACACAAAGTCGCTGAGTTTCAAAGTGATATAAACTGATAATCCTGTAAATAGGTTTATTTTGGCCATGTGGCAAGGGGTTTGGACTGACAATTTCATCAGTGAATAGAAGAATTAGGGATTTCTGGGCCTCAATGCACAGTTATGTGCCGCACAAAACTGTGAATGTGTTATTTGGGCAGCTTTGTTTTGTTACCAGCAGATCCAGACTCCCTCAAACTATGTAGAAACATGAAAGATTCTGGGATCGTTTAGGACTATTGGCTTGCTACAAGTTTCTTTTTTTTTTTCTTTTGTTTTTTCAAATTTAACCCATTTACAGCTTTACAAAGAAAAAAAAATTAAGCATGGAATATTAGAGTCCAAGTGGGGCTGAATTCATCCTGAATTTGTGTTTTGATTTTTGAAGACTTAACCGGATTGTACAATGAAAATCGTAATAACCAGAATATTTTCAGGTTGATATAGAATAGCCCGTTAAATCAGTATAAGCCTAGAGCCAAGGCACTTTCTGGATTGATGTCTAGTCCGGTTGTCAAACCAATACGGATAGGCTTAATGCAGATTTCTGAATTCTATGCAGACCTATAAACATTTAAAATGTCAAAAATCCCACTCTATACATTAATGTCTGCCTGTAAATTGGCATAAATTTCAAGCTGGCACCTACCCTAACTGTACTTTGGGCCTAAAAATCTGACCCTAGGTTGAACTGTCATTCTCCCTAGAATATAAACCCTACCGCTGGGCTTGAGCCAAAAACTACTGATTTTATCAATTAATATAAATATTTTAATTTGGATTAATGTTTTTCTTTTTTGGTTCTTCCTTGTATTGTCTTATATTTTCCTGTTCTTACAAATTATTATTTTAATATTATTGTTGCCGTTATTACACATTTAAACTGGAACAAAATATTACGCCAAAGGTAATAAAGTGAGATGTCGATATGTGTTAATTGTGGATGCAGTGTGGTGGGCGCAATTATAATTGCAGCGGGGTTTTATGGTGTGATATGGGGACAGTCCAAGGAAGAGAAAAATAGAGAAGATGATAAAGTTGATGGTTTTGGGGCCTCCGTGGACAAAATCCCCTTCTTGTCAAGCCAGGGAGAGGTGGTGGTATAATAATACTAATAATGGAAAGCAAGCCAAAATTCAGAATGATGCATCTACTGACTCTTTACTCTATCCTATATGTAAGCCCTTATGACTAATGGGAAATCCTACATCCCTTTTGTTACTGGTACATTTCTCAATTACTTAAAATCTTTCTCTCCATAATTTCTACAACACATTAGGAAGCCTCTCTGGTTTTCAAGCTACCGTGGCTATGTTTGGTTTGAAGGAAAAGGTAGGGAAAGGAAAGGTTTGTAAAGGTTTCTCTACCTTTTCCTTCCTTTCCCTACATTTTCCTTCAAATCAAACATAGCCTAGTGTACCTTCCTTATCTGGTGCTATTGCATGAGGGATGTCTTCTGTGTGGTGATGTTTTAAATTCCCAAAGCTCTCTTGGTTGTGCAACTTTCCATGGCGAGAAAGAATGGGGAGGGGGAGAGATCGAGATGAAGCAATTCAAGACCTTGGTGACACGAAGAGAGCTGGGACAAGTTCTTCTGTATGAGAGGGTCTTCAGAATCTTCTCGTTTCGGAGCTCTCAATCTTTATAATGTATATGTTTGGTTTCGTGGACATTTATTCTTGGGTATTTATTGTTTCAAGTGTTTATTTTAACAAGTACTTTAAACGTTTCTTGTTTTTATTATTTGGTTGAGCATAACTTTAAATGTTTTTTACTTTACAGCTCAAATTAGCACCCCATAAAATATGCCACATAAGCATTTCATTCCAAGAAACATCTGAGCGTTGGGGAAAATAAGAATTTAATGTTTCCAGGCGTCTGCTTTTTAGTGTTTATTTGATAAATAGAGAAAGCAAACAGTCTCAATAACACAAATAGCCATGTGGCTCTGATGTGATAGCACTTCTTCAATAAACACCAATGGAACAAAACATTCCCAATAACTCAAGATGTCATCAGAACTCCATCTGCCATGACTGGAGCATCCCGTTGCGATGACAAAGCATCCTTCCCCTTCCATTCTCCCCTAGTCCCTACCTCCAAGTTATCCTTCTCAAAACAGCCTTCTTCCCTTCCATTCTTTCGTTCCCTTTCAGATCGAGTAGTCATCCTTAGAGATACATCCCAACCGCCACAATTCTTCCCTTCTTTCTTCCATTTACTGTTTTCTTGACAAGTGCTAGTAAGGTTTTCTTCCCTTATTTGGAGAGATCTCAATCGCTTGGCAAAAGGTAGGAAGCACTGGATAGATCATCTCATTTCTATGAACTCCAACTTCAGTTAAACTCAAGATGTCGCTGGAGCTCCATGGTGGCAATAGTAGCTTTGTTGCTACAAATATTGTTACTGGTTGTGGCAACTCTCACCTGCTATTCACTTTTACAATGTATGTCTTTGCTTTTACTTATAATTTATGGGTTACTTGCGTTTTTATTTCATGGATGCTGTGCATCTGTTTTGCTGGACTCAGCTTTAGGCACAAGGAATAGGTGGAAAGATCGAAACGTACAAGATGAAGAGCCCCCCTGTGTGGGCTGCATACTTGCATTTCAATAGTGTTGAGATAAAACAAAGGGTTTTGAGCCGTTAGGAGAGGATGTACTGAGATGTCATAGTGTTTGGTCGGATTAAACGACTCATACTTTTCTAATGGCAGATCTACTCCTTTGTCAACAAAAGGTTTGATGAAGAAAAACTTGCCGGGAAGAGAGATTCGGTGTGATGTAATCTGCTATGGCACAAAATATGAAGGAATAGGGCAATAATTCTTCCCCATAGGCTTTCATCGGTGATGGCTTCTGTTTTAGAGGGTTTTCTTCATTGGATATCAAAGGATAGTCCACATTGCCATAATCGTCAAAAACAGACAAAGCTTTAATGGTGTTAGTGCTTGAAACTAGGATCTTTTTCCTACTACTTTTATAAAGATTAAGGTCAAATTTGCCTTTCACTTGTTCTTTTCTTTCCTGGTGAATGGCTTTTTAGAACTTCTCATGTAAATGTTTCTTGGTTTTTTTTTTTTTCTATAAATGTTGAAAAGATGTTGATGCGAGGAACTTCGCAAGCATTTCACATTTTCCAATGTAAATGTTTTTTATAGAAAGGGTTAATTGCAGATTAGTACCCCTACTCTGGGGCTAGTATCACTTTAATTAGTATCTGAACTTCAAAACGTTTCATTGTAGTACATGAACTCCCGAAAACCGTCAACTTTTAATATTAGTATCCGTCGTTATCATTCCGTTAGTTATTTGTATCACATGACTATGTGAAGCTTAATTTTTTAAATGCCAAAATTACCCTTTTAATATTTTTAAGACCATTTTACCTTGACTGTCTTCCCCAGCAATGACTAGAATTACTTGTCTTTTCCAATCCCTCTTCTCTAGCAACAACGTTGTCTTCTTCAACAACATTTTTCCATATAGCACAGAAAAGTTAGGACATAAAGCGAACAATAGTGACTAGTAAAATAGAGTATAGGGGTACTAATCTGCGATTTACCCTTTATAGAAAATGTTTTATTAACGCGCTAATGCTTAAACACTTTTTGATTGAAAAGAAGTTTCTACCCCATCAAAAATAAAAATCTCTTAAAATATTTTCAAAATTTTTAGTTGATAAAAAATAAAAAATATAAAATTTCAATGTACCTATTTAAAAATTAAGGAAAAACCTCCCAGAAATTAACTCCATCTTACCATTTCACTTCTCCTAACAAGACAAGATAGCAATTGAACGGATGTGCTTTTACTAAACTATCGTTATTAAGACCTATGTTATAGTATTCTATTATTATAACATATTACCAATGTTCTAGTACCTATGTTAAAGTTTCCCTATTATGTTATAATAATTAAAGTAACAATTTGAATGCTTTGTATGATAACCTATCTACTTCAAGTGACATATGGCATATATTATAGAGTACCCTATTATTGTTGAGGGTGATATTTCGGGTTTTGTAGAGACAAAAACATAAAACGGGTGAAGGAAAGGTCATGCAGATTTACCTAGATCCTAAAATTTGATCTAATAGAATATACTTGAACCGGAGCTGTTATTAAAACCAAACACCAACTAGACCCATCACTAATTTTATTAATTTGGCCTATTCATATCTAAACCGAACCTAACCCATTATTAAAATTTGATCTATTTGATCTATTTTTATAATAATATAATATTCTATGTATTACATTAAAAACTTTATTTATTAGATTATATTAAATTAAAAGAGTAAACAAATATTATCTGGAATTTCTACTAATTCTCTTGCAAATTTAATTTATATCAATTCAATAACTGTTTTTAACCCATCGTTGACCCAGATGGTTGAACCGTTCGAACTATCACTCAATCGATTTTCTAGGTCCAGTTCTTATAAAACCCGGCATTGCCCCAAAAACTATTGAAAAGTCAATAAAATCGTTGATCCAAATGGTTAAGCCATCAAACTGTTGACCCGATCACCGAGATGCAAGTTGCAAACTAACTATGTATGCAAACTTCAAAAGGCCATAACTTTGCACTCTAATGTCCAATTTAGGTGATTTTTCTTGATTTTGGGTAACTTTACAAGATCTATACGTCCCAAGACGCCTTGCCCCACATTTTCATGAAAAAAAACCCTTTTTTGGCCTCAAATTGCAATTTTTAATGTTTTTATACATAAAAATTAGAACTGAATTAAAAATATAAATTAAATATAAAATATAACTTATATCATGTCTAAAATATAATTATACATTATTTATTGATAAAATATGTATTTGTACATATATACACACGCACAAGTTGATGTGGCACAGTTTGACCAGTTCAACCTGGACATTCGAACCGATGACCCATGACCAAGAGGCAAAAACGGTTCGGCCTTTGGGTCGGTTTTTAAAACACTGCAATAACCTATGTATAATTTTGGAAATTAATTAACATAAAATGTATCTAGGAAATAAGAAAAAATAAGTATTTTTGGATGTCTATAGAAAAATTAAATAAATATATCAATTTACTATAAAAACCTAGATTATTAAAATATACTTAAGTCATAACAATTAATATAAAAATCAATATAACAATTGGTATATGTATTACAATATAAAAGCAACTTAGAAAATTAAGTTATTGGTAGTTACAAATATAGTCGGTTAGAAAAATATTAAATCATATGTCAATTAGTTCTTTGTAATTTAGAAAGACATTGTTTTATTTAATTTTGAGTAGTCAAAATTTTTATTTTCCTTTTGAAAAAATAATTAGAAATTCTTCCATTTAACTGTTTTGGATAATTAGTACTATGGAACCTATCCCCCCACCCAAAAAAACTCCCTATAGGATTTATACAAATTTAAAATGTTTAGAGTTCTTAAAAACTTCCTACACACCCAACTAGAGAACCTATCCCAAGCAATTTGTATAGTAAAATATAACATCATTTCCATTTTAAAAAATTCATAATAATATTTTTAATCTTAAATAAAACTTGAGCTGGATTCAAACCAATTTGGCTAGATTAAGAATGTCATAATACTGCTATTTCAATTTGACTTTTTTTTGTATGGATAAACAAAATTATTTCACTTTCACTTAAATTTTGCTAGATTAAGAATGCCACCCTTGCTCACCTTAGTTTCTCCCTTCCCCCTTTCCTACTCTCTCTCTCTCTCTCCTTTCTGTCATTTTTTCCTCTCAACTAGACTTGTTCATGGGCCAGTCCTTGTATTAATAAAATATACTCAGGCCCCCTGGCCCAAGTCCAAGCCCGGCCAAAAAATTAGAAAAATAATTTTTTTCTTATTTATTCAATAAACAACTGCCTTATTTATCTTAAAAGACATCAAAACCTAAATGATAATGAATGATCTCACTATTACTTGAAAAAAGAGAAGAATAATAAAGAAAATATATAATATAATAAAAATATATTTTTATTTATTATACAAAATATATTTTTATTATATAATACATTATCAAGTCAAGCTTGGTATTTTTTGAGAAAGCACGAGCTTGGCTTGAAAAAAGGTCATGCCCGATGTTTTAGGTCTAAGCCCAAGCTCATAGGCTTGAAATCCTGTCCAAGCCCGTCTTAGATAAGGTCGGGCCCATTGGACTACCTGGCCCATGGACAGGTCTACTCTCAACCAATCTCATAGATATTTATTTTACCCTTTGTTCTATTGTAAATGTAAAATAAAGAAAATATTTGGTGAAAAAACAACAAAAATATATCTCAAATATTTCAGTCTAAAAAAAGTTTCTGCCCATTTTACATATTTAAGTAAAAAGGGAGCTTCAAATAAAAAAAGGAACACTTCTGATTCGAATAAAAAATTCATCTGACGCTCCACATCTACTTGCACTACACAATTGTCACTTTATCCCTTTTAATTTCACATGCAAAAGGAACTGAGACCAAGAAAAGATCTATGGTCAAGAAGTAGACATATGGCTTGTAGGATCCAATGTCCACTTCTATCAGATGTCAGTTGGAATAAAGGTGTATTGAATAAAAAATAGGCTGGCATAAAAGTATGTTTAATAGGTCCGGCATGCCATTCAGGAGCAGTTTGATCATAAAAATTACATTAATGCTAATGTGGACAACTTCTGTCAATGAACATTAATGGTCCTCTAACAGATGGTGAGTTTTGGAAAACAAAAAATCATTGGCATGGGATTCCCTAAGCGTTTTGAAAAGTTATGGTGAGCTTAAGAGAAATGCTGAAAGGTCATGGTGGGTTTTAAACAATTTCCCTTATTTTTAAGGTACATAACGTGAAGATCTTATTCCTACAAAAGATTCCTATTTTTAAAGGAAAAATCTATGATATGGAAAAAATATGGTATGGAAAGAGTTTTGACAAATCAAAACTCACTCATGAATTTTTCTTCCGGTGGATTTTGTTTTTAGGGTACATTACACATCGGTACCCTATACTTTGGGGGTAGTAACAAATAGGTACTTGAAGTTTCAATTGCAATACTTGAATACCCTGAACTTTCAAAAATAGGCACTTGGGTTTATCCATTAAAGTTCCATCAATTAATGGAACGTCTCCCTACGATGACATTCTCACATGGACAGCAAATATCATATTCAAATTTTCTAACGATAGGATTCTCTGGTGATGATTTTACTTTGTAGAATTATCTAAAAAATACACAATATAACCTTAAGGTATTTGTCGGAGTTTTCATAAAGTGTATCTAGCGACTTAGCTTTTAGGCTATGTTTGGTTTGAAGGAAAATGTAGATAAAGAAAAGGAAAAGTAAGAAAATCTTTACAATTCTTGTATTGGTTTTCTATCTTTCTCTCCCTTTCCTTACCTTTTCCGTCAAACCAAATATAACCTTAAGGTATTTGTCGTTTTCTTGATGATATTTGCCGGTTTCCCACACACAGAGAAATGATTGGTTGGTGATTACAGCACAGGGGCCACAGATTGATGGTAAGGTATCTCTACTTGGTGTAGGTTTTATTTATCCTTAATGAAAAACTTAAAAAAAAAATCTGCTATTCTTTTCCTTTTTTCATTAATGGGCAAAGAAGATGATTTTTGTGGGGTCTTCCTTGTTATTGACCAACATTAGGGTCAACCAGACCCATCTGACAACTTAAATATTATTATTATTTACTCATTAAGTTATTAATTATTAGTTAAAGAAATAACTTAATTGCTTAATTAATCCTAAAAAGTTAATTACCTAAATTAAAATTTATTAACTAATAACTTAACTTTTCGGTATTGTTAATAGCTTTATGGAATAATGAACAGAGTGCAACTTTATGAGGTCGATGTATTGGCTAGACAATGTTTTGAAAATATAATTAAGCTATTAAGAACTTTATTAACAACTCTTTTTTTTGTGGAAATTATTAAGCAAAGTTAATAACTATCAAAAAATTATAGGGAATCTTTTGCCAATAAAAAATCGATCCGATTAACATAATAGTAATATTAATACAATAAAAATTTAGGAAATTTTAATAAAAATAATAAAAATATTAAATAATGTTTATTAATAAAAACAATAAATATTAAGTTACTAATAAAAATCAACAGGGATTAGGGTTGTGATAAAAACAGGGTTGCACGTGAGGCACAAGAAGAGCCTCTTGTTTGATGGGACTCCAAATCTCCTGCCCACAAGAATTTTGCCCATTTCTACCTGCAACACACTATCCCCTGTGAATTGAGAACATCTCCCCCTGCATAATACTATGCAGAGGATAAGATGTCCTCTATGTATGACTATGATAAACGTGGGCAGGAGGTCTGGACTTGTTTGTTGGTATTTGGTTTAAACCTCACAAAAAGCAAATTGTTTATCGTTTCGATTTTTTTTTTAAGTGTTGGTTGTGGAATTTGATTCCACACCATGATTTTTTTAAGCAAACAAGGAATAATCGTAAATTGTGTAGACCAACCTTTTAATTTACAAGCATACGAGATGTTGACATGTGTATGTACTCCCTTTTTTCTGTGCCGGTGGGAGGGGAGTTCACACCTCCATAAATGCCAATTTCCACAGGTGAAGACATTGTTATAGAAAACTCTCAAGAAATTTGTGAAGCATATGAAATCTTGACTGATGAGTACAAAGAAAATTGTTGCAAACCAAGCCACCTCTAACCTGATGCATTAACAAAAGATTGCAGGCCAAATAAGGGTGGAAGTCATTTGCAAGTAATTGTTTCAGGTGCCCATCATTTCTTCTTCATTTGAGTACTCTGCTTTTTTCAAAACACCTCAGCTCATTTTGAATTGGATTCGTTAATGGCTTCCTTTTTATAGAGTAATTAACGTTTATAAATTTTGCTCTTGAACTTATCTCAACTTCATGAGTTCTGAATCTTCACCTCAATCAATTGGATATAGCATATTGTTGCTTTTATTCTCATTTGCGGCATAAAAGACACAGAACCTTGACTTAGAGAAAGCAAGTTTAGTATGGAGGAGCTATGCTAGCAATTTAGTATAAACATTTCAACACCAGAAATTTTTCCCCCGTAGTCGTTGTTAATGGCATACACCCTACGGAAGGGTTTGGTTTGTAACAGTGTTTTGTATTTTTCCTCTTTAGCCTTTACTATCTCTCGAACTTAACGGCGGTCAAAGTATCTATTTTACTCTCTTTTACTTTTTAATTTGAAAAAAAAGAAATAGATATTGAAGAAAGGGAAATTATCTAAAACTCACCATGAGTTTTCAACATTTCTATTGAATTCATCACAACTTTTCAAAATGTTTAAAACTCACCATGTCAGTAAGTTTTTATTTTCCAAAACTCACTTTCTGTTAGTGCACCGTTAATGCTTCTCAGTAGAGGTGTTCATATTAGCATAAATAACAATTATCATGACCAAATTACCCTTGAATGGTGAATTAGAGGAAAAATAGTATTTTTAGTTTTCAATTTTCTTATTTATTTTTTTTTTGCGTTAACTTTTATCCATCTGGTTGAACCGAACGCAAAAAGACAAAATATAGAAAATCATCTATGCGTTAATTTGCCAGATTTGAAAGGAGTCCACATGCATGCCTCCTCTTGAAGGGTTCTCGCGTCCCGTGAATCTAAGGGTCCACTGAATCTGGTTAAATGACTTACACATGTGGCCTGAGATGAGAAGCCATGCAAATTCTTACGTGTCCCAATTTGATTGGGAGTGCACCCCAGCAGATATGTAACCAAGTGCAGAAAATCCAAACTCCATTTGAAAGGGATTTTTCATTTTTATGGTTGTTGGTAGTAGATGGGAAGGGAATGGGGGAGATCCGTCCCCTGTTCTAGGTAATAAAGAAGACAACACTGTGAGGCGCCCATTTGTGAGGAGCGGATGATTGCTGTTGCCTTGTAGTCCAGTCCGATTGGCGCCCACGAATTTAATTCTTTCGTACAATGGAATAGCCATTTCATTTCAGATGAGTATAGCTTCGTATTTTACGCTGCATCTAAAAGTAAATTAGAAACGCTCTTCCCCCCAACGCTCCTCAGAGACGAAGAGGGAGAGAGATGGGGGCGAAATTGGTTCCATTTGCAGTCATGATAGCGGTGCAATGCTTGAATATAGGGATGACAACACTGAGCAAAGCAGCCCTGTCTAAGGGGATGAGTCATTTTGTCTTCGTCCTCTACTCAATGCCTTGGCCACGCTCATCCTCCTTCCTTCTTCCTTCATCTTTCGCAGGTCTATGGTCTCTCTTTCCTCCTTTTCTTCTCTTCATCTTTCCTCTTCTGACTAATTATTATTCATCAACCAATGTAAAATCTATCAAATACTCGGTCTAACACCATATCTCTCTCTCTCTCTATCTTTATTTTCCCTTAGTTGCAGGAAGAAGAGACTTCCTATAACCTTGTCTCTCCTCTGTAAATTCTTCCTCCTCGCACTTATCGGGTCTGTAATCGCTTCTGAACAGATGATGGGATGGGGAGATTGATGAAATTGTAGTTGAATCAATTGTAAGCAGGATAATACTTATCGGCAACTTGGTCCCTGCCTGCACCTTCATTCTTGCTGTTATTTTCCGGTGTTGCCTTATCCCCTTCTTCACGCACATAAGCGCACGGCTGTACAGGGTCCACACCAACAGTGGACAGCCAAAATTCCTGTCCACTGTCGGCAGCAGCCAAAATTTTTCACTGTACAATCTACCAATTACCAAACAAAACGTTTTCTTTTCGTTATCGTTAGTCTCCCCAAAAATAAAAGTGGCGTTCGTTGGAGTGTTATCTCTTGGGAGAATGACACGTCGATCAGGCCAACATTAACGTCCGTTTGAGCGTTAACGTGGTCTGGTTGACTTAATTGGATGGTTTCACGTGGATACGAATCGGTCTGGGACAAAAGGGCCTCATTTCTTCGATTCTGTTTTCTGAGAGCTTCTTCCACCGAATCCTACCCATACACCAAACCCTTCCTCCATCAGCGGCGATAGAGTTCCAGCGGTTCATCGACGGCGACAAAAAAACCTCCGGCGGCGACGTATTCTTCTTCTCCTCTTCTCTTCTTCTTCTACTCTCCATTCTTCTTCTTCGACAAGTAGCTCCGGTGGTAGGGCCGGCGATCATTTTTCTTCTTCTCCTCTTCTTCTTTGTCTTCTCTGGTGATAGGTCCGATCTGAAGGACGAACATGTACAGATAGGACTGGTACTGAAACACAGTAATAGATGAGCGTGAGTGAAGATTCCACTCCAGAAACAGAAAGAGCGAATTACATCCAGTGCTAGTATACGGTCCTAAACCTGATTATATATCAACAAAAAAAAAAAGAAAAGAAGAATCAGAGTTTTCAGACTGAATATCTAAGCATCATATGGCATATGGTAGATGCAGCAATTGCTTATCCGTAGGAAATTTTAGGGTTTAACAGCATCAGAAAACAGAGCATTCAGAGATTAGGGATTTGTCGAATTTGTTGAATTTTTTTGAAATGATTGGTTGCATCCATCCATCCAAATGTTCTATACTCTTATCTTTCCAAATTGAGATTTCCTACAGATAGGAACAGCAAACAACAAAAACGAAAAAGATCTTACTACAGAGTTTTATCAATAAGCTTGCATCAGAACAAAAAAACCAAAGATAAAATTAAACAAAAAAGAAGAAGAAGAAGAGAAGAGTTAAAAGGCTGGGCATTGCCGCCTACCATCGGAGAAGACGATGAAAAGAAGAGGAGAAGAAGAAGAGAGAAGAACACATTGCCGCTGGAGGTCTCATAGTCGCCGTCGATCAATTGTCGGAACTCTGTTGCCGCCGATGGAGAAAGGGTAGGGTTCGGTGGAAGGAGCACTCCAAGGGAAACAAAATCGAAGAAATGAGGCCCTTCGGTCCGTGTTCCACAGCGATTCGTGTCCGCACGAATTGGTTCATGTCCGCATAAACCGTCCGATTGAACCGACCAGACCACGTTAACGCTCAGACGGACATTAACATTGGCCTGTTCGACGTGTTGTTTTCTCATTCGCAGGTTCACGCATCCGGTGCACAGAACGCGGACTCGAATGATTGCATGGTTCAATGTTGCATACAGTTAATTTTCGTTTCTTTTGATTTTATTTTCTATAAATTATTATTTTTTAAATAAGGATTTCTCCTTCATTTTTCATAAATATTAGCGAGTTTCATTCGTTCCATACTTTTTAATATGTCAAAGTAATATTATATTTAGTTTATTAAACGTTGGATCATTTTCATTATTTTTTATACCAGTTTTTATTAATAAATTATGATTTTATTATTAGGTAAACTCATATTTGATATATTTTATCTTTTAATATTATCATATATGACAAATTTATTTTTATATTTATTTGTAATTTATATATTGTATTTTATTTTAAGATCTCCATTTGGTTCGCAGTTGGAATCGTTGAAAACCAAAAATCTGTTTGATTCAGACAGGAATCAAAATGAAAATAGGAATAAGTTGGAATGGCATTTCATTCCCAAGGAAGGCCGAGGCTCCACCCCTGCAACTGTGCAAAGCATAGTTCTACTCGGCTTGTTCACAGCCTTAGATTTGGATGAATAGACAAAAATTTTCACCAATGAATAATTTCCTTTTGGTTGTTGAATAAGTTTGAAATTCATATAATAAGCTTTATAATTAAATTCTTGTTTTCTTCTTTTTTTTTTTTTTCTGAAGCTTGGAAAAACTAGATCTGAGAAACTTAAGCGACCAAGTCAAAATCGTGGGGACTTTAGTGTCCATCTCAGGGGCTTTGATACTGATAGTTACCCTGTACAAGGAGGGCCCATCCATCAGATTCGGAAGAACCACCCCATCTTCATCACCACCACTTCCTCTATCCTTGACTGAATCCTTGGTGCACTATTCTTCGCAGTTGCTTCTTTATCGGCTTCTATTTGGAACACTTTTCAGGTACAAGAAAAAAAATGAAAATAATAAATAAATAAAAATCTTGGTTCGGACTCATACCCTAATAACTGTTCCTCTTGTATCTTACAGACAGTGATTGTTAGAGGGTACCCAGACGAGATGACCATTAGACTCCTATACATTTTTTGGGACCATCCAAACTGCAGTACTTTGTTTGATTGCAGAAAGAGATCCCAGTGGGTTGGACTCTAGAGCCAGGTGTAAAACTCATCTCAGTTGTCTACTCGGTAAGCAAACACCAAAACTACTGTATAACTCTTTTGATCGAACCCTGCTGCCCCTATTATTAGAAGAAAGTCAAAAAGAAAGAGAAAATATATAGAAAAGCAGTGGAGAAATTATTTTCTTTTTCCAACTTTGTTGTTGTTCTGTGTTTAGGCTGCTTTTGGAAGTGTAATAACTCCTTTGGTTATCACCTGGTGCATAGAAAAGAAAGGGCCAGTATTTGCAGCCATGTTCAATTCTCGCCCTTAGGAATCGTTATTGCAGCATTAATGGGTGTCATATTCCTTGGTGATAGTGATACGCTCCATCTCGGAAGGTAGATATATTGATTGATTTCCTTAGCTTCTAATTTCAGTTTCGAAGTAGTTGTAATTAAGTAATCGAGCCATGCCACCTTGTTGTCCACAGTTCCGTCCTTTGTTTTTAAGGACCTAAAGCTTTTTCTGAGTCGTTCTGATGAGTTTCAAAGTCATAACCCTACGCTTATTTTGGCCTTGGCCATGTGGCAAGGGGTTTTTATATGCTGAAATTTCTAATTAATGATATGTGGCAATCACACCCACAATTTTGTTTGGAATCCACTATTCATGAATAAAGTTTAATTTGTAATTTATGACCCATTTTATCTAAAAATTTAAAAATGATACACACATTAAGTGAGTGGGACTAGCTTTAATTTGTTGGGTTAGTTAGCCATGTGGCCTGTGGGTTTTAATTGTTTCAAAGAAATATGTGGATGAGAAACGTGAATTTGTTATTGTTTTCTTGTTTTTTTTTTTTTTTCTTATATTTCCACTTCTCACGAAAAAGAAGGCTATTATTTGGGAAAATGTTTATTAATTGTTGCTATGATTATTAAGATTCAAACAAAATCCTTAATGTGGGATGATATTTCATTATTTCTATATTGTGGTTATGTGAATGCAGTGTGGTGGGTTCAGCTATAATTGCAGTGGGGTTTTATGGTGTGATATGGGGACAATCTAAAGAAGAGACAAAATGTGAAGATAAGGAAGTTGATGGCTTTGGAGACTCAGTAGACCAAACCCCTTTCTTGTCGACGTACAGAGAGCTGGTGGTATAATATAATATTAGAAGTCAAAGCAAAAAATCAGAATGCGATTGGTTGCTTTTCTTAATTAATTAGTTAGTTGTAGAGGTTATCTTTCTTTTTCTTGTCTTAATTAGGGTGCAATCTCTCTGATCAGTGTAAAATCATGCATCTACTGACTCTTGTCTTGACTCTACCCAATATGTTAGTGCCTAAGAGAAAGAGAAAATGCTCCTCTTCTTCTTTTTATTACTGGTATGTTCATGCGTGAATGATCACGATTTTTTATTATTATTTTTTTCAAATTTGACTTGTATCAAAGAAAATTGATGTTCACACCCTTCGAACAGTTAGCCCCTTACAATTTTACATTGGGAATATCTTCTATAAAATAAATCACATAACTACAAAGATATTTTTAACACAAAGCTGTAAAGACTGTTGGAACGGGCTGGACTCTTTCATCAACAGTGTGATATATTAGTATCAGGGCAGAGCAACGGGGTTTGCAATGGTCTATAATAGAAGCATGTATGTGACATGTTTTTTTTTGGTATGTATAAAAGCTTATGACATGTTTTATACAAGCTATTCCACAGTAGTGACCTGAGCGACACATTCATTTCCACTGTACTCGTTAATTACTAGTGGCTAATAATGAGGACGAGGAAATTTGAGTTTGACCCTAATACCACTGCTTCTAATTTCGTTCGTTTTTTAGAAAATTATTTATTTACTTAGGTAAATACATTTAATCGGATAAGTCGGTAAATGCATTTATTCGTGTACTATGGGGTCAGGGTCAGTGACAATAAAAACTCCCTTGAACTTTACCCATTAGATAAAGATCTTTTTCCGTTAGCTAACTTTGAAAAAGATCCTATCCGACTGTTTTGAGTTTTGAAATACCCAAATTACATTTTCTTTAATTTATAAAATCATTTAACTTTTTATATACTTTGAACTGTTCATAAGACTAATTTCTAGGTAAACTAACCTAGACCACAAAATATACATCACAAGAGCCCAAAATGACAACTCGAAAGCCAAAAACATGGCTTTCCGTTGAAGCAGATGGCTTGTAGATAGACCAGAAAATGGCTGACCGCCTATTTGAAGCAGATGGTTTGTACATCAGGTGTTCGCAAATTTCCATCGATAATAGAGGCTTTTTTACACTGTTTCCAAAACACATGCAATTCTGGACCGGAGTGCAATAATGCACTGAACCGAAATTTACACTTCTTTCAAACGCAGCCTAAAGGTTTTCTTATCATTCCTTTCCTTTCCCTACTTTTTTTTTTCAAACCAAACACAGCGTAAAAGTAACAAGTTAATTGTGGAATCTATCCAAATTTTGTAAAGAATAAAAAAAGAAAAATCGTCATGATTTTGGTCGGAAATGCAATTCACAAGCAAATAAAACCTGGTAGCAAGTATTTTGTCCCCGACAGACAGTGGAACATCCCAATTCCACCGTCCTGGCCTTTTGCAAACTTCAACCCATATGGCTGCTCGAGTTCTACCTCAAACTCCTCGTATTGTTCTTCTGCATCTCAACCTTCACCTCCAACATTTGCTTTCGATGGTCAGATTTAGTTGTGGATGCTTTAGCAACAAAAATGAATGGTTTTCTCAACTAGGTATTGCAGATACAAGCTGGGGAATCCAAGAATGACTAATTTTTCGAAAATTAATAACTGCATGGATTTGCTTGGAGGGAGCTGTTCTTAGTAGTGGTGGAGAGGAACGGAGAGACAGACATGATCAACGCCCTATAGGTGGAATTCAATGTTGGAGAGTTTTAAGAGAAAATGAAAAAAAAAAAAAAAAATAGAGAAAGTTTAATAAGATATTTTGGTAATTTGGTGGTTTCCGTAATTTGATTTGAGCCGAAGAGGTATTTGTGGCAATGTAAAAGTTTAGGGGATTTTTTTCGCAAATATATATATATATATATATATATATATATATATATATATATATATGTATGTATATGTCACTGACCCTATAGTACAAGAGGATCATTCACTCATTTTAATTTATTCAGAAAAAAAAACAAGCCATTAAAATGTAAAATCGTCAACAATTTGGCCCATGCAGGTCTCGAACCTGCGACCTTCGCGTTATTAGCACGACGCTCTAACCAACTGAGCTAATAGGCCGCCGACAGATTGTATATGATCATTTAATATTTCTCCGTTTCTTATGCATCCGCAAAGAAGATACCCTCAAATCCGGAAATGACAAACGAGCCCTCATAAGTCATATCATAACTGACAATGCGATGTGGCATCAGATTCCATCATTGGATGGACTCCAAACAAAGATGCTATACACGATAACAAAAAATGAGCATGATGATGATGGTATGTCATATGTAGCATGTGCTTTGGTGGATTAGTTTTAGAGTTGTTAGGCAATTAGACACCCAAAACCCAATCTTTAAGCTTTAACTCTTCTGAGAAGCAGCAACACCAACACATAAATATTTGTTCCATCTTTTCTTATTTACTTTTGCAATGACCAACATTCTGACTTTTGACTTGTGCTATTTTCTCAACTCCCCTCACTACATTTGTATATTTATCTAACTCTGCAAGTCTATATTCTTTGGGAACAATCATTCTATGAAAAAAGGAACCGAAGCTTAGGGTCCATCCATTTGCTTTGACGTTTGACATCTAAAAGTGCAATTACATTAAGAGATATATAGGTATTGATAAATTTTTCTTTCCTCTGAACTCTGATCAGAGAATTTTGTTTTGAACCAAGAATCCTGAATTCTAAAAATTGTCAAATGTCCATCTTAAGCCCATATATGAGAATTTCTGTTTGTCCATGTAATTCAATAAAAAATAGTAGAAAATTATTATAATGATTAATAATTATTATTTAATAATTGATAATAATTATTATTTCATAATCATTAATTATTAATTAATATAATAGTTAATAATTAATTGCAATAACTCTTATTCATTAATAATTCATCGAAATTAATTAATAGTAATTAATAATAATTTTTATTAATTAATTTCTAATTATTTTTTATTAGTAATTAAGAATTAATTATTATATAATTCATTAATAATAAAATATTAACAATTATGACTTTATAATAATAATAATAATTATTATTAATTATTAATAATTAAATATAATTAATTAATCATAATTAATGATTAGTAATTTGTACTAATAATTATTAATTTTTCCTAGTTCAATAAAAATTAATATTAAAAATTGTTATAATGATTAATAATTAATTAATATTTAGTAATAATGATATAATTATTATTAATTATTGCTCATTACTAATTGATAGTTAATAATTAATTAAAAACCAATATTTAACATTTAATTTATAACTAATGCTAATTAGTATAATAATTAATAATTATGAACTAATAATTATTATTAATTAATAATTCATTCTAATTAATTAATAGTAATTATTAATTATTAATTATTACCTTTATGTAATTGAATAAAGAAATAATATTAAAATTTGTTATAATGATTACTATTTAATAATAATGATTATAATAATTAATAATTATTATTCAATTAGTAATAACTATGATTATTATTATTATAAGAATAATAAATTAATAACTAATAATGGTTAATTATTATAATAGGTATTAATTAGTTATTAATTATATTTAATAATTATTATTATTGCTTATAAGGCCCTTGCATTATACGAAGGATAAGTGTTTTGTGGGGGTATCATTGGAAAACAGAAAACAATGTAAGACTCCCCTTTAAAAGACAAGAGATAAGAGGGAACGACCAACCATTTTCCTCTTAAAATTGTAGGATTCCTCAAATGTAAGAGTTAAGAGGAAATGAACAGGCCCTTAATGTTATGAGTAACGGCTGAAAATTTGACAGCCTTAATAAGGGCTCCACATTTCCTGGGTGGGCCTATTTCCGTACTGGAGCATAAGGACCTTAGTTGTAGGATTCCTCTCCATGAAACTAGAAGAGTCTATTTCCTTCAAAACTTGGCTCGATAAAAATCTTAAGAAAATATTTTAGCCTAGAGGTCATTGAAATTCCTCAGCACTATTTACATTGAAGAAATATCTGACCTTGTGAATTTTCCAAAGAGAACAAAAAATTAGGGCCCATTTGGTCTGTAGTCAGAATTGTAATTGGAATCAGAATTGAAATTTTGAAATAAGCTACAATGAATACTCATTCCCAAGGGAGGGGGAGAGAATGGTCATTCCTTCAAATGGATAAATGCTACACTAGAAATGGTAATCCAATTCTAACTTCGCCCAACCAAAACTAGAATAGACCAAACAGACCCTTGGTAATTTTGAATGTTGATATTGATCCACCAAATGCTTATTAGGAAGATACAACCATTAAAAAAAAAAAAAAAGGAAGTTGGAGAAAAATCCTCAAAGGTTGGAATTAGAATTGACCAAGAAACTCATGTTCTTTTTTCAGATTTATGTGGAATCCACATAAATTTTTTTCCCTGAGCCCATCTCCTAGGTGGACAAGTAACTTTCCACTTGGGGGAAAAGTTGTCAACAATTTAATGGGATAAAATGGCCCCTTTTAATAATGGATTAATATGGCTAAAATGGTCATTATCTTGCTTACCTGAGAAATAAAATAACACGAGTAACCAGGGTGTGGATTTTCTCACAACTTTTGCTTTTTCAATTATAGAACCAAAAGCAAACACACTTCCCTAAAAAATAATATAGAACCAATTTTTACATCCCCCAAGCCTACGGCTCCTTAATAGAAATCCCATCCCAATCCCGTTGAGATGCTTCCAACTATCGTACAAAACTTTTTTATTTTGAATGGAGATAGCCTAACTGAATAAATCATACACAGGTTGGGTGGCACCATATCCTACTCCATCTCCCTTTTTTCTCCTTTTCTAAATGATTTGTATATTCAACCAACTAGAACTGCCAAATCTGCACACAGTAGATGGGAGTTCTGCAAGTAGAGAAGCTTCTGTAAGTGATTGCGAGGATGAGAAAGTTTCCATATACCTCCATTTTACCTCATGTCTTGAGATCACCAGACATTGCCGAAGGTATGCAGTGCGTTGTGAGAATATCTGGAGTTGCTGCCTTTGCAGTCTTTGTCTGAAGGACCACCAACTGCATTTGGAGAGAAAATAAACAGTAAGCATGTATATATAGGAGCTGGTTTGCTAGTCAGGCGTTGAGTGAACTTCCTAAACAACCTGGGAATCTTTCATGTGGCAGAATAGTTTGGAGCTCAAAAGGAGTCTCCAAATTCCTCTCCCCACCTTCTCTTTACGAGAAAAAAATAGATTCAAACAGTTTGGCACATGTTCAAAATAAGTCATTCTTTATAGGTAGGTTTCATACCAAAATGTTAAAGCTTTTGATTTATTTAACGACTAGCATTAGTTGTAAAAAAACACTAATACAATGTGGGGCATGTGGATGATATGGAGTATGGGATTGAACATGTGGCCAATCCAGTAGGTCCCATATCTGATGGACAGTCTGGGTTGGCCACGAGATCCTTCCACATGGTAGAAATAGATTGGTTTATGTAAGGAAGCTCGCAAGATCCCGTTAAAAAGTGGTTTCTTGCAAATTGAAGGGGCTAGAAGAGCTAGCGGCAGACCAATAAGGACATGGGTAGTAGTAAGAAATGATTTATGTGCCAATAATTTAACAATGGATATGGTGTTAAATAAAACATAATGGCAAAATAGGATTCATGTAGCCAACCCCATATAGTTTGGACAAGGCTTGGATGATGACGATGATGATGTAAGGAAGCTCACTACCTGAATGCCTCTCCACATCCTAGAATCATGGAAAATTTTAGAAAAATACCTTGCCACATTCTAAATAAACTCTCTTTGTGGACAACTTTTTAAAATCAAAATATTAGAGGGCTGTTATTAATCAAATAAGCTCCAACCCAAGGTTGGAATAGCACTGATTTGGACAGCAGGATTCAACAAATACTCAATCCAGAGTTTCCTCTAACTGATGAACAGTCAGGATTGGCCACATAATTTCTCACATGGCTAAAATAGAATAGGTTTTGTAGGAAAGATGTAAACGAGAGAGAAAGAAAGGGAGAATGGGGCAGGACCTGTTGATACTCCAGTTCAAACTTCAAAAATTCATCATCACAGTTCTCAACCATGTTGCACAAGCTCTTCAAATTCTTGACAGGCTTCCCATTGAAGGCAAGAACCTAGAAGAAAATATGTACAAGAGAACATCATTGAAAATGACAGACTAAAGAGTAAGCCATTAAAATCATATCTGATTTGTAAGAGCTTGTTCTGACCTGAGTATTGACAATGTTCTCATACCCAATATTGATATCAGCCACAAGAACCTGCCACAGTTTCCACAGCTCTTGTCATGGAATCCAGAATCACAGAGTTACTTCCAATTATACCTCAGGAGTTAATGACAAGAACAGCAAAAATAAATAGAGGCGCTGAGACATACAAAAATATAGGTACATATGTGTGGGTGGTTTCAGCTAGAGAGAGAGAGAGAGAGAGACCTGAGAAACAACCACAAGTTCCTCATCGTCTGATTGTGCCATTGCATGCAAGTGTTTGTCCAACAGTTTGACTGGTGCATCACATTCATAATCCTTTCCATACTAGTAAACAGGAAAAATTATAAGAGTTAGCATAAAATAATACCAAGCAACCTATGCAAATTCAACCATAAAAAAGCTTTTCTTTAATCAGAGAAACTCCTTCAAGGTCAAATGAAAATGAGGACCATCACTTCTGAGAAAATACATTTGATGTTCTTATACCTTAAAATTCTTTGAAATAAACCACTAAAAAATTAATCAGTCCACTGCTTGGCAGACTCTGTCAGTGATCCCTCCCTTTCTCATCTCTATGGATTAATTGTGTAGAGAACACTGATGTGGGCCCCACAGCTGTGGTCCCACTCTGTCCGTAAGGTCATATCTGTTATTCCAGTTGTTATTTATATTTCAGTTTTATATTRTTCTATGTGTTATGTAAATACCAAGGGCAGATTTGTCCTTTCATGTAACTAGCATAACCTATAAATAATAAATAGAAGTGGCGGCGGCAGAACATTCTGATTCTGTCCTTCCTTTCAATTCTTGTGTTCTACTGCTCTCTCTCTACTCTTTCTCCTCTCTCCTCTATACTTTTTTCAAACCTGAAATCTATTAGGGTTCAAGACTGATAGCAGTCTTGAACATCTACTAATTGTATCATTAAGACACCATTGTTTCCCTTGTTTAGAGTTATAATTGCAGATGTTACTTTGACTTGGGACCACGAACAAAGTGAGTTCTACTTCAGATTATAAGTCTCATTTTGCAAAGTCAAGTAGAAATAGCAATGTTGAAGGAGGCAGTCATTCCTGTATCTACATATGGTGCTACATCCTTCAATCCCTTTTTCATCTGAAAATAGAGAAGGTAATTTGGCTAGACAAAGGGTTGAGAAGACTGAGGGTCCATTTGGTTCACAGTCGGAATCGGAATCCTTTGGAATAAGAATCAGAATGGTCTATTCCCCTCACCTGTTTGGTTCAGGCTGGAAACAGAATTGAAATCAGAATTGGATGGAATGGATTCTCATTCCCAGGGAGGGGGAGGGAATGGCCCTTCCCTCAAATGAAGGAATGCCAATCCACCAGGAATGGGAATAGGATTCCAATTTCGCCCAACCAAACAGTTGGAATCGTAATGGACAATTCCGATTCTAATTCTGGATCCCTATTCCTGCAAGCCAAACAGACCCTGAATTGGATTGGAGTATACTAACTTTCCTGTATTTAACATGATACTGCAATACAAATGGATGCATCAAGAAGTTTACAAAAGATGCTGGACACTAGTTCAGAAAAACTCAAAATGTAGCATGTTTACTAATTTGAAAGTGCACAAAACAGAATCTCTTCGGAGACATCTGATAAAATTGGAACGATACAGAGAAGATTAGCATGGCCCCTGCGCAAGGATGACACGCACAAATCAAGAAAGTGCACAAAACAGAATTTGACTCAAGGATAATATAGGATAACGTTAGAATTTTTCTACGAACAAATTTGTGGATCTTAACATCAAACTAGGTAATTCCTACATGGACTTTGTGCATGTATTCTTTTTCTTTCCTTTACCATTTTTCAACATTCATCTTTTAAAAAATAAACTGAAAAAAAAAAATCTGTCTAATTCATTTATGTTTTTTTTTATGAATAATAACAAGTTTATTGATTCAGAAGCAACTTTAGAGTGAGTTCATACATCATCCCAACGAGAGGCACGAGCTGCAGCCCCTCCTTGAGTCTTACAAGTAAACTAGGAAAGAAAAACAATGATCACAACTGATCCCAAAATAATTCTTCCCTATTTACCCCTTGCTTAGCTAACACATCTGACAAAGTATTTGCTGATCTCCCCACCCACTG